ATATATATATATTGTATAATGTAATCTTGGCCAACATAAAACTTCATCTGTTTGCATAAATTTCACTAAGACATAATTAACTTCTGCTATAACTACCCACCAAGTATTTCTCTAAAACATAAAGCATTTGAAACACCACTGACCTCGTTTGAACACCTAAGGAAGTCCTGGTGAGACAGAGCACATTCTGGCATAAGGTGGTGGCAGTGAGGGAGAGAGGTCAGGGGAATGGGGCAAAAATAAGAAGCAAGATACATCATGTAAAGGTACAAGAACCCAATGATGAATGTAACTGTGCTGTATACCTAAATGTAGCAGTAGACATAATAAAAAAATATGGTGGCAGTGGAGTAGAGAGAAGCAAAGGGTAGAAGATATATTTGGGTTGTCTTCTGTGATAGAACAGCTTGCAGTGTAGTCCTAGGGGAGCATTTGACACATTGAATAATAAAACACCATGAGGACCAAGTGTGATTAATTAGTTGAAAATGTTTCCTTCCAGTCCTCAGGTGGAAGACAGTGATGGGACTATCCAGTTTGATGGAGAAGGCTATGCCTTGGTCAGCCGCCCCATTCGCTGGTACCCCAATATCTCCACCATCATGTTCAAGTTCCGGACATTTTCCTCAAGTGCTCTCCTGATGTATCTTGCCACACGGGACCTGGTAAGGATCACACACACAGAGCAGATCTTCTATGACTGAGCATCCATTTGCTTATTTTTTGTAGAATTCCAATGCAATTAATTATCAGTTACTGGTAAAAATATCTCTTATTAAAATATATCTAGACAGCCAAAAATGCATGATGAGACAACACTTATATATTTCCATTGATAACTTTAATCATAGGTACAATTTAATTACTACTTATTTTCAGTATAACTCCCTGTATAGTCCTTTAAGAGAAGCAGCCTGTAAAGATATTTCCAGTACAGCATTATGCGGCAGTAAAACCGTTTTGTTTCTGGGTTTTTGTTGCTGTTGTTGTTGTTGAGAGGGGATTCTAAATATTTTTCAGCCTCATGTTTTTCTAGTCAGTATTTATTTCTTAGTAAATTATTTCACAGAACAAATCTTTCAGTTTGCTTAACATGTTTTCAAGGAACCCATTTAGTCCTACCATAATGAAAACAATATGTCCTACTAATTTGGTCGTGACCATTTGTACCATACCATCACACCTGCAAAAACTCACAAAATAATAATACCAATTCAATTTCCAAAATGTGTTTCTGTTACAGTGTAACATAGTTAGCAAGTTAGCCACAAGGCCTTATTACACCCCATAGAAAAGTGAGTACCCATAGATTTCTCTGTGCAGCTAATCACTGGTATATTTTTACTCCATTAATAGAAAGATTTCATGAGTGTAGAGCTGGCTGATGGACACATAAAAGTCAGCTATGATCTGGGTTCGGGAATGGCTTCTGTTGTCAGCAATCAAAACCATAATGATGGGAAATGGAAATCATTCACCCTGTCAAGGATTCAAAAACAAGGTGAGTTTTTATAGTAATAAGGCAGTATGGGCCTTAATCATGCCATCCGAAGCACCCGAGAACCTAATCAGGGGAAAGACCTTGTCTGTAATTTTAGCTACTCTCAAGTTCTGAGAAAAATGGATACAGTCATTGCTTTGGCTTAGATTATAGGTGGTTTGGATTAGACAAGACTGATTGAAGAGCCAAATCGTTCTCTGTCATTTTCTTTGGAAACTGAGAGCTTAATTTGAAAGCATAAAACTGTCTTACAACCTGTAAAATTATATCCTGTAATAGGTTTGAAAAATGTTGTATGCCTTTCCTTATTCCTGCTTTGCCAAGATGTTTTCTTTAAAGCTGCCCACAATAAAACCTATAAGGTAGGGCACTGCTACCAGTTCTTTGCTTTTAAAAATGTCAAAATTTTGTGTATATTTAAGAAAATGGTTGGTCAGTTATAGTATGATGTTTGTATGGTCCCGATATTTTTAAAATCATGTCCACGAGCATTGTTTCATTTGCAATATAAGCAAATGTTTTATTCTGTTGCTAGAGAAAAGAAAACATATACTCAAACTTACACTGGTTACTGAACTGTGAAAAAGATCTCACAACCAAGACACAAAGCCAAGTCTCCTAGTTTTGAGCATGGCATTATTGCTATCTAGATACAATTCCTCTATTTCTGTGTACTAGGGTATTACTGATACCTGCAAATGGAACTGATACCACTGCTAATATAAACAGACCTCATTAATGTTGGTCATACCAATGTGACATTTCATGAAAATTGAGATTTAGTTGTGCACCAGCTTTCATTCCGGCATTTTAAAAGTATTTCTCAAGCACCTACTAAGTAGAGTGTATGAACTAAATGGAGTGCAAAACAGTCTTTGCTCTGAAGGAACTTGCAACCTAATGGGGTTAGAGGAGAGAAATCTGACTGCCGGAAGAGATGAGCATCCCAGTCTCAGAAGAGAAGCATCTGAGTCAAAGGCAGAGGTGAGTTCCCAGGGAGCTCCCAGTCCTGATGTACAAACAAGAGGTGAAGAGTCAGCTGCATGGGAAGCATGTGGAGATTTCACGGTGACGGCAGCCTGGAAGCCTGCAGCCATCAGAGAGCAGAGTACATCATTACCGCCTGCATTTGCTTAGAACATGGAGCCCTGAGAAAATCCTCAGCAGAGACCAAAACTAACTCTGGGACTTCTACAAACTGTATTGCCACAGCATCCATTGTTCCCATGTAAGAGACACAGCACGTGTGTGCATATTACATAGTCTGTGTGCTTGTCCAGTAAAAGGAAAGTCTTAGTCATTTAACCAAACATTTCTCAAACTTCTGTAATCACAGAAGTCTTCCCACCCCTGCAGCACTAGCATCCACCAGAACACTCTTTGAGAAACCTTACAAGTGAATCCATAGGCTAAATGAGTGATTTTTGACAGAAAACCATCCGATTATAGAAGCCCTGTAAGCTGAGCAAATGAGGTACAAGGAACTATGAGTCTTGGGGTATGACATCATCAGATGCATACTTTAAAGAAAAAATTTTTTTGCACCGTCTTTGAGTGTAGGTTTATGACAATTGAGATTCAGCACCAACAATAAACTAGGCAAACAGCAAGGGGAAGAAAAAAGAAATCACTAACCGTAAGGAGACTAGGAAATAATGGAGTTGAAAGACACTAAGTATCTTAACATTGAAAAGCTTTGTGCATTACTTGATATGGAGCCTGAGTTTAAAAAAAGATCTGGAATCATTCCTCTTTTTTCCTTAGATAACATGATATGTTGGTGATATTCAAGAAACTACTAAATAGTGGGTTTTTCTGTAGAGGATACTGAGTGCTATTTTGTACATGTTATACTCAAGGTGTTTTTGGTAGCTGGAGCATCCTAGGGAAGCTGTGTGATTGGTTATAGTTATCAGAGGATCGCAGCGTTCTAGGAGAATGGCTGGCAGTCATAATCATCTCGGCAACAGCATCTAAATAGGGATTAGGAACCCAAGCAATCATGTCTAGGATAAAGTGACCCAAAGCCAAGGAACATTCAAATACTAAAACAGTAGGTTAACGGAAGACTCCATAAAGGAGACTATAAAAAACAATCAGAGAAAGCAGAAATAAAGCTTTAAGGAAGACTGATGTTACAGAAATAAGAGTTTCTAAGATAATCAAGTTTAATTTTCCTCTGGTAGAGAATGCGTAAGGAAGACAAGAACAAAGGAATTCATCAGCTTTGGAAACACAGAGACCACTGGAGGCTTTGGCAAGAATCGTCCCAGGGAAAGCCTGTCCCATGGTGGGAAAGCAGACACAGTGACTGTGTACCGATTCCAAAGGAAATTTGGCTCTAAAATTTGGGAGAAAAAAAAAAAGGCATGGGCAGTAGCTAGGAAAGGGACCGGAGAGGTGGAGGGCAAGGATGTTGAAGTAGAACATGTTGGCTTTCTCCATCAGTTCCCGGGACACAGTAAGCGCTCTGGAAGTGTTTGTCGAGTGGATAAGTGATTTTGACCGTGTTTGTAGGCTATGGAGAATGTGTTAGTAAAGGGAAAGCAGTAAGAAATAGGAAAGAGTCATGAAGGAGTCATGCACAGGCCTTTAGAAAGCATGGCTCCAAGACTGGAGAGAGTGCTGTTCTGCCCCAGAATGAGGAGTCCTTGTTCCCCAGAAGAGGATGAGAGGAGGAAAGGGACCAAAGAAGGCAAAGATAAATTTGTAGACGTGGATTAAGATTTTGTGGTCATTTTCTCCAGAGGTCCTAAATTTTTATTGAATATGAAAGAATAAATAGTGTCAGGGAAGAGGTAATCAAATAACAGGGCTAAAGAAAGAAGAAAAATGCATATGCTTGTGCAAAAGATAAAACGAAGAAAGATGCAGGAATGCTGGGCCGTGTGGGATGGTGCTACAGATTCTAAACGTAGTGTTGTGTTCAATTATATTAATTGTAGTATAGTGTAAAACGTGGAGCTAGAATGACTCAACTGTGTAAGAGAATAATTTCCACGAATCGACACCTTGTTAATATTATCTCTATACTCAGCATGATGCTTAGACCATTTTATTCTGTCCCTTGAAACAAGTAATCAGAGGGTCTGAGATCCTAAACCATGTTGGTCCTTGGTCAAGTTACAGCGCTGCACGAACTTGAAAGTAGTCAACTTGAGCCGTCCACCCATGCCGAGGGTTCTTCCCTACTCGGTGGGATTGTCCAGATTTTTACTAGACCCACACCGTTGTTACCATGTTGTCCAGAAGCTGGAAGGGACTCTTTCTTGTCCTGCCTAGTGTCTTCTGCTTCATTCTTCATCTGGTTTCAGCCCTTCAGCGTAGTTGGCTGAGAGCTTCTCCTTCATAAGAGGCCTCCGTGGGTGTGCTTTTCACGGTCTTGAACACCTCTGACAAATGCACCAAGCAACCATCCTTACTTTCATTTCAGACATAAATTAGGTGAAATATCTCACTATCTCCTTTCATGTGCTGCCACAGTGTTACCATGTTTTAAATCATATTAATCCTATGAGAGTCAGGTGTTCAGAACTTTGATTCTCAGATGACATTGAGAACTTCTACCTTCTTCCTGTGGCTGTTCCCCTTTCTCTGTTATCTCTGATGCCAACTTTGCACATCAAATAAGTGAGATTTGTATTATAATATAACTATAGCTAGTCTGATTTTCCATATGTGTTCTCATACATACAGTATATAGTCCCTGAAACTTTTGAAGCATTTTACTATTCCAGCATCTATTAGTTTTTCTTCTACAAATAAAAGCATTGAAGTCAAAAGAGAAATAAAGCAAGGTTATAAACAAATATAGATTTCTTCTATATAAATGAGAAATGCATTGTCATGGAATATAAGAATAGTCACGTACTGTCTAGCAATATTAAATGATCACAATTAAAACACTGAAATAAGACCTGTGGTTGGATTCAACATTGGGAAAATAAAGAATAACCCCAAAGTATGTTACCACTACACAACTATTTGTCCACAATTTACAAGACTGATCAGACCCAATGTTGGTAAAAAGGCAGAGAAATTGAAAGTTTTCTACACCGTTGCTGAAGTTGTAAAATGATGAATGAGTCACCAGGTTTACGTGCCATAGGAACCAGACACTCCACTCTTAGCTATTCACCAGAGACACAGCGAAGTATGTTATCCTTACAAAGATGTGTGTACTGTGCATATCAACTTTATTTGTGGTTCTCAAAACCTCAGAGCAACTCAGACATCTATCAACAGGTAAACGCACACATATGGGTGATAGTTTATCCATTCCAGGGAATGCTTCCTGGTCACAAAAAGTTAAAATAGAAACACTATAATATACATGAAAATGGATGAATATTAAAATACCAAATGAAATAATGGAGACAAAAAGAATGTATTTATGTAAAATTATGTGCACGGTGCAAAGTGATCTACAGTCACAGAAAGCGAATAGCGGCTACTTGTGGACAGGTATATATGAAGGGTAGGAAGGAAGGATTACAAAGAAGCATAAAGAAACTTTTGGGGTCATAGGAATGTTCCTTTCATTTATTGTGGTGATGAGTCCCATAGGTGTAAATGTATTCCAAATCTTGTTAGGTTACAAGGACGAAACATAATATATTACTTTATGTCACTAAAGCCTTAAAAATAGCATGGATATTTGAGTTCTTTAGATATCTATAATGGTTTTGACTGATTAAATATGAACGGTGAGGATGACTTTCTAGATTAGGAGAGTGGGTGAGAATCATAGGGCCACCAAATAAAACAAGTAGTACAAGGCAGTGAGGTGGCACACACCTGCAATCCTGGCGCTCAGGGAGGCTGAGACAGGACAATTCAAGTTCCACACCAGCCTGGCCAGCATAGCAATTTAGCGAAATCCTGTCTCTAAAGAAAGGAAAAAAAAGAAAAGAAAAACCTTAAAAGGGCGGGGCATGTAGCTCAGTGTGAAAGCCTGAGCTGGGGGGTCCATCACCAGGACTGCCAAACAGTAAGTAATACATGTTTAGGGTTAAATGATCATTTCTATTCTGAATATGTGCAGTACTGAAGGAAAATACAGGTGAAAGATGGTTTTTCCCCTGTTTATCATGGACTTTTAGGTAAAAGATATCAAGTCCAAGCATATACTTTTTCAAGTCAATAACATCCTGTTAGGAGATTAAAGCATGAGTGTTAGAGAACATCAGTATTCCAGAAGTATTCAAAGAAATAGAGAAGGCTGATGAGAGCAGAGGTAAGAAAATGTAGAAAACTTGGCACGCTGGGAGCTAAGACATTTCCTAAAAGGAAAGAAGTGCTAGCACCATCAAATACTGCATAAGCAGGATGATAAGGACCAGTAGTACTCTACAGGGTCTGGGAAGGGGGCTGGAGAAGTGGGGAGAGGCGGGTGGCACTGCATTCCCCGAGGAGTGGGCTGTCAAGTGAAATGAGGTGCCTGCGATGTGTGTCATTGACTCTTGGTGATTGGATCAGTTGCTTTAAATGAATTATTCTCAGCTGGTTTGAAAAACCACTGCCTCTGGAAACTCAAACACCGTCCTTCAGCCAGCGCCCCCATCCTCCTTGAGAGTCGCTTAGCCACAGCCCAGTCACTAATAAGAGTGTGACACCCCCGCTTGCATGGGTGTGCTGGTAACTAACAGGTGTGTGGTGTCCCCAGGGGCACTGATGTGGAAAGGGAGTTGAGAAGGCAGAAAAGAAAAGCATCACCAAATGAGAAGCAAGTTCCGTATGACAGTTCAGCCCTGAGTGTCACATTACCTGTTAAGGCTCTACTCTGTGTCTATTGTTTAATTTAAAACAAACAAACAAACAAAAAACAAAACAAAACAAAAAACCTTACTTCCTTGCCTACCCATAAAAGTGATGACTAAACTCAGCTTTGAAATTTTGCGTTAATAGCTTACTTTCCTATTCTGTAAGGAAAAAAAATGGAGCAAGAAATAAAAGAGACTATTAGCATTTCCTAGCGTTTTCCAGAAGAGCCCTGTTTATTGCTGTCACTCAGGAGGGAGAGAGGAAAGCATTTCCTTCGCCTTAGTAAGAATACGCCACCCTGCAGCTCCCTGTCAGGGTTAACTTTATGGCCAGTGAGTTTCAATTGAATTGTGTTGCTACTCTTTAATCAATTTTCTTAGAATGATTTCTTAAAATGCATATATTCACTCGGGGATAAGGAGGAAAACACCCTTGTCACTGGCTTGCCAGTGATAGAGCAGAACCACATGTCACGGACACCACTGAAATATCCACCAAGTCTGCCAACAGAGACTATGTTCATGTTCCAGTCAACAGCACCATATGAAACTTCTTTGTGATCTCGATAAAAAGGAATATGTATGCAGAAGCCTTGGAAACAGTTTTGTATATCTGTTTTCTTTTAACCACCAGGCTACTCAGAGGGGTGTTCATATGCAAAACTAATTTGAGGTCTGAAAGTCATTACAGGTCTGTAGAAATTCAAGTTGATGACGTCAATTGAAGTTTGAAATCTGGTTAAACTATTTTTAGTAGGACTATCATTCGTTTTTACATGTGTTTGTCGCTTGCTTTTACAAAACCTGCTCTGAGGTGGTAAGAGTCTCAGTGTTTGATTTTGGACATCACTTCTATGCAGTTTTGTTTAAAGTTATCACACCAGTAAGAGTAAGGAGTATGGTGCAATCGGGGAAGCGGATATTTCTCTCTGTATTCCAAAGCAAATTAACTCTGAAAGATAATGAATGGAGAGAAAATGATAATGTTCCGTGGTCAAACCAATTTGGAAGTACTTCTTGATCCATTTCCCTCTTAGCATTGCATAGTAGCAAGTCAGAAAAGCTAGGGAGCCACCAAGTTAAGATACGTGTTTGACTTTGACCCAGTATTTGTCATATTTACTTAAACCAGGAACATCACGAAACTAGGATTCCCAAAAAGGAGCATTTACAAATCTTTGATTCCAAGCTGGGGATTTAGCTCAGCGGTTCGGTGGCCTGCCTCACAAGTGCAAGAACCCGAGTTCAATCCCCAGTATGAAAAAAAAAAAAAAAAAGAAAGAAAGAAAAGAAAAGAAAAAAGTAGGGTCATATTAGCTGGGCGTGGTGGTGCACGCCTGTAATCCCAGCACTCGGGAGGCTGAGGCAGGAGGATCGCTGTGAGTTTGAGACCAGCCTGAGCTACATAGTGAGTTCCAGGTCAGTCTTAACTACATACTGAGACCCTGTCTTAAAACAAAACAAAACAAAACAAAAAAACAAACAAACAAAAAAATAAATCTTTGATTCCAAGACAATTCGCATCTAGCATTAAGCAAAGGGAGAGGCAGAATCTGTCGTGTTAATGAACTGTTCTCTCAAGTTGAATAAAAGATCCAAAATATATGGAACAGTTGAAGATGGAGACCAAGTAGATGGTATGGGGAGAAAACAATTCAGAAGCAGCTTATCTTGGCCCTTAACAATGAAGGAGAACCACCAGTGATATAAAAAATTCCCACCTCCCACCTCGAACGGTCTCGTGGCTTTGCCCCATAAAACACCTTTGAGAAGCAGGCTGGGTGGGGAGCCCACTTTCTGATCCCCCTCCTTCTCTCTTAGACAGAAGCTGTTTTTCTCTCAATAAATTCTTCCTCCCCTTAACCTCTGCTGTTCCTATGCATCATTTTTATTTTTTTAGAATTCATGCTTTGATTTTAGAGAACACAAACTCGTGTTTCAATTATCTCATGGATTTGGGAGTCACATCCATTCCCCCGTATCACCATTATCAGTGGTGAATAGTTGATTCTTATTCTGTCCCAAACTTGACGTTATAAATGTTTGTCATTTTAGGTATTTGAAAACAACATGATAGTATCATTACATTTTAATTTTTGTTGCTTAGAAGAGGAATGATTATGGTACTATTTTCTGTGTTCATTGCCAATTTGTGTGTCTTTTACTATGAAGTCTATTCAAACATTTAGACGATTTGTTTTATAAGAGGATCTTGGGGAGGAGGGGAGAAAGAGAGTAAAAATTATCAAGATGCAATATGTATATTTATACATTCCCCAAGAGGAATATAATTATTATATATCACAAACATATATGAAGAAAAATATTATTAAAAGATAAAAATAAAAAAGGATAAAGAAAAGTGGAAAATAAAGATATTAAAGCAACAACAACAAAAAATCCCTATCTGCTCTCTCTATAATGCAGAGAAGTGACCTTCCTCTTTCCTTTTTGTTTCTAAATTCTTATCTTTATCACATCAGAAATATCTTGAGAGACCCAAGAGAAAAGCAGTAAGGCATGAAGATCATATCTCCCTTGTGAGTTTAAAAACTGTAGTCCTTTCGATACCGAAATTTACAAAAAGACCCACGAGTCAACATATTTCTAATTAATTCCTAATTAGGTACTCGTTGCAGTACTCAAATGATTGTTTTCGGCCTACTTTCCTGCATTATGGAAAACTGTACAAAGTGGTTAGTTGATGTCCATCCAGATTTTTCCTTCTTATTTTCATTAGTTTGCCTTTATTGTGTTCTACCCATTATTTCCATACTCACTTTTGTGGCTAGTTCAAAAATGTGTCTCATTGATGCTATTGCTTCTACAGTTGGTAAACAGTTAAATATGGCACAAGTGCTTCAGGAAGTTGGTGTTAGCTTAGGAATGAAGTCACTTTTATCTTGAAGTGTCAGCAATAATACAGGTATGGTTGATTTTGCTCAAATCAAACATTATATTTCTTATCTCCTTCACAGCCAACATATCAATCATAGATATTGATACTAACGGGGAGGAGAACATAGCAACTTCATCTTCTGGAAACAACTTTGGTCTTGATTTGAAAGCTGACGACAAAATATATTTTGGTGGCCTGCCAACCTTGAGAAACCTGAGGTAACTGAGTGCATATTTAAAGCTTAGAATCAGGTTTTAATTAAATGGTCATTGTGCTCACTAGAGTTCTGTAGCTTAACGGCCATAGGAATGTCATATGACCTTTAGCTGCAGAAAAGTCTAATAAAAAAATAAAAATCATGCTGCCCGTCAGAACAACACCCGTTTTTAGGAACCCAAGGATTAATTTGACATCTTCACTGAAGGGATGGGTTGGACTCACTGTTTCCCACATAGGCACCTGCTGAAAAGTAATTAAAGGTGGAAGCGGGGTTGAATGCAGGTTTTGTAATTACCATTCCCCTCGCACGTTCACAGGAGAAAATAGTGCTCTGACACTGCTTAGGGTTCTGAGAATTAGTGTGCCAGGCTGCCGAGAGTGTAACCTATTTTATTGCTAAGCATTAGCATCGTAATGGCACATTGGAGCTTGCCCGTGTTTCAAATAGTAGAACTATATTAGTTGTTCTCCTGCTCATGCTAACATATTTTTTTAAAATTCATGTATGCTTTTTAGCTAGCAAAATGGGAAGACATCATTAGCTCATAGTTCAGTTAATGCCAAAAATAAATAACTAAATAGGTCAGAAAACATCTCATGGAGTAATTAATTGACTGCATATCATCAAGCATAAGAAAAAACCTTATAGAGTATGTGGCACTCAATAAATGTTCATTAAATTAGATCAGAATGGAATAAGTTTGCTTCAACCATAAGAGTTTTACTAGAAACAGAGTATCATGTTTTTAATTTTTTTGTTTTGCTTGGTTTGGTGATTTTTCATGTGCATTAAGTTCTATCTCGGTGTTTGTACACTAAAAAGACAGGTTACATTTGGCGAAGTCTCAGAATATTGTATTGGAAAGTATTCTGGGCAGATTGTCTGTCAGGGTTTCAGAGGGGCAGTGGATAAGCTTCGTGGTGGTGCGAATAAACTGGATATGCATTCACTTCTGTCCAGATGCGTCCCTCTGCATTAGGTTACAACTCAGGGTGTGAGATCAGAGAAATCAGTGCATACCCAAATGTTTGAGTAGTGAAATGCAGTAGCTGCTCCCTGTAAATCAACTTACTACACAGTCATTCAACAAATATTTCTTGGCCATCTAACTATGTTCCAGGTACCGTATGAAACACTGGGGAATCTAGAAATTCTTCAAATCTTTTTTTTTTTTTTTTTGGTAAAATCATTAGCTATATTCTACTGAGAGAATTAAATCTCATAAAAAGAATAAGGCTACCTGAAGCTGGCTTCACTTACTCTAGTGATGGTTTTAACTATCAGTGATTTTCAGACATCATCTACAAGCAAGTACATGCTAACTCATTTGAGAAAGGCTTATGTCTTGGTTGTTTTGGAGACGATATATCTCATAAGTCTTTATCACTAATGTGTTTTGATGATGCATTTTATAATTATTGATAAATAGGGCATGTTATTTCAAAATAGTTTTAGGTTTATATTTGTGAGGGATAAATGAAACAAATTATTTTATACACAGTTTCAATATGGTAAAGTACAAGAGGTGTGGTAAACACATTATTTCTCCTTTCTGGTAAGCACAAGAGGCCATATTTATAAGCTACTCCAATACTGCATTTGTGCATTTTTCCCATACAGCTATAAAGGGAAGCGTTTAAATTCATCTTCCAGAATACAAAGTTGTTCCAGAGAAAAGTACGGGAAATGGTCCCTTCGAATTCTAATTTTACTTTAGTCCAAGGCCCTTGTCTGTTTTCAGTTCTGACAGCATTTTATATTCCTTCTCTGGGAGATATGTTAAAAGATTTATGCCTACAGCTTATTGTTATACTAAATGAAAATGCAATTGCAAGTAAAATTTTTTCTTCTTCTCTTCTCTTTGACTTAGTATGAAAGCAAGGTAAAATTTTAATTTATGCATGTCCTCTTCTGATGCATGGCTTAGGTAAATGTGGCTTCTTAGATAACGTAGCATTGCAGAGGCAAAGCAACACCGGAGCCGGAAACGCGGCCCGAGATTTCTCACGCTGCCCTTCCTCAGGAAGATGCTGCTACTCGCCCGCCCTCAAGTGGGCTGCATTTGGGCCCTTGCATCCGCGGAGTAGATTGGCGAATCTTACTTGTTGAACCACCTGCACACTGCGCCCCCTGGTGACCAGCAGCGCTACTCAAAGGGCCGCTGGTGGAATTCAGGGGCAAAGTCTAGCCCTGGGGAGAGAGCAGAGGTCTGGGGCTCCTCCCAAGCATCTGGCCTTCCTGGTGCCACGCTGTCTGCTGTCTGCTCCACCTGTGCTCCCAAATGCTTACCACTGCCTGTTGCTCTCGCAGGCCTGCAGATATGCAAACATCTATGTGGCCTGCGCAGCTCTTGTCCAAGTTGCTTATTTGTTGCCACATTTATTTAGAATTAGCTATGGAGCCAGATGAAGAGGGTTTCTGGAAATACTGTTCTTACAAGTGTTTGGATGAACAGGGAAGAAATTTGGGGAAAGAGCATTTTAATGCTCACCTGCAAGAATTAGCTGCCTCTCTAGGTGGCTGGTCAACCCCAGATGTGCGGCTTTGGCACCCTCGGAAGCCTGGTGCTGGGCATTTCAGGGCCAAATTTCTGAAAAGGAGATAATGAGGTTAAACTGTCTCAAGAAACGTTTAAACCAAAGGCTGGAGTTTTAATACCAGAAACTAGAAAAATAGAAAAAAATAGGGAAAATAAACAAGTTGTTTAAGCATGGCATAGTTAGGAGGCCACTCGTGCTGTCTGCTGAGATGGCTAAAATACGAGCCTGGCTGTCAGTGTAGATGTGTGTTACTAAACCCCCGGGATGGACCAAGCAGCTTTGCAGTTTTGCCTGTGAGCTGCGACCCTCAGGAAACTGCCAGCGGGTCATGAGGAATTCTATCACTGTTGTCACTCTTTACGCCTTGTGATTTTCATGGCATCGAGCTTGCTACATCGTAATATTTTGAATAAGCTTTTGCATTTCCATGAGGCCATGAACTTATGGGGGTGACTTACTTTATTTAAAAGACTTCTGGCGAAAAAAATGTGATGAATCTGGAAGCAAGTGAGTGCTTCCAGTACTGTGCTCTGCCTGAATCCGCACAAACCACACAACTTGGGGATGTAGGGCCTACCGCTGCTGTCGTGCCCACTTCTCACAGAAGGCCTCTGTGTCTCCAGGAGCCACCTCGCGGCCCCTGTCAAGTAACAAACCAGAGCAACACGCTGGGCCACAGAGCAAGAGGTCCATTGTTAATCCATTAGCATCTCAGCCTGATTTTAAGAGGGACTGAGCAGAAAGGAGGCATGCAAGTGTAACTTAGGGTTAGGTTGAGGGTGAGGGTGACTAAGTGCATGTTTTCCACATTTGATTTGGTTGGTTAAGTGTTCCAGCATAGAATGCAAGCCTTAGCTGCACTCTGTAAATGTAACTTTAAAATTTATATGTTTAGGCTATATAATCCAGAAGAATGTTTCTTGGATTGTGTTTTATTTAAAAGCTTTTTAAAAACCAGTAATATTATCTTTTAGTTCAGCCGCGACACCAAATAACACTCAATAAATTAAGAAATATTTTCTTCAAAATAAACATATGTTTTTTCTAAATTCTGAGCAAGATTTTAAGAAGCTATTTTAACGTAGTCTGATTATGCTGCCTACACAATTATCTGGTCTTTGGTAGAAAAAAAAAAAAAGAAGCAGCACTTACTTCATTGTGCAGATACAGCATTAATACATCAGTCAATTCCTGAGCCTTGTATTGAAGTGCTGTAAATGAAATTATTTTTAAAGAGGAGGAGAAAATTTACATCAAGACCCCTTCATCAGGATGCTGTGGTCATGCACTTAATCCAAGAAGCAGGTAACTGGGAGCATAGCTTGCTGAGTCCAGGTGTGTCTGCGTGTGGACTTCTGTGGACCTCCCTGACCAGCCTCCGTGCCAGGTGACTTCTGGGGTAGGAGTAACTACACTGCCACTACCCTAAAGATGTTTTTGTTTTCCCCTTGACTATTCAATAGGCCGGAAGTAAACGTGAGGAAATATTCTGGCTGCCTCAGCGACATTGAAATTTCGAGAACCCCGTACAACATCCTCAGCAGCCCTGACTACGTTGGTGTGACCAAAGGGTGCTCACTTGAGGTTGGTTCCTTTCCCAAGATTCCCTAAAGCAGGGTTAGCATATTCCACTGGCTTAGTTTGTGTGCTGTTACGAGGATCGTCCTTTGTTAGTAGATTGCAGACTTCTGCAAGTCCTGGTCTTAGGTATGCAGTATGGTAAAGCAAGATGAAAAAGCATACTAGAAATTACAGTTCGAATGAAAATCCAAACTTCTGCTTCATGGTAGTGAACGCCTAGTACTTCACAGCATGTATCTTTTTTTTTTTTTTAGCTCTTTTTTTATTCTACTTTTAGAAATAACAAAGGTTTTGAAAGAACTGGCTCATCTCATAATATACTATATGTTTGAGAATTCAGCAGATCTGAAAATGTTTCCTCTTAGCCCTGTGAATTTGTTATTTCTTATTTCTTTTTTTTTCAGCTTTAATTGAGTTTATTGGTACATTTTAGGGATACAGTACAGTTACATTCATTGTTGGGATCTTGTACCTCTACATGACAAGTCTTGGTTCTCATTTTTTCCCCTTACCCCTGCCCTCCCTTCACCCCCTCCTCCCCTCCCCATCTACAAACACTTTATTTCCATCTTTTCATTCTCTCACATTTTTTTCTTTTCCCTTATTACCCTTCCCCTACCCATCACACCTTCCCTACACATTTAGCCCCTTTCTTCCCATTTCACAATGTCAGTAATCTTATTAGGATCTTCTGTATTATTGTAGATTATTCACACCAGAGAAACTATTCGGTATTTACACATGCATCTGTGCCTTATTTATTTCACTTAGGAGTATATCTTCAATATGTATCCATTTTCCTATGAATTAATCTATTTTCTCGTTCTTTATGGCTGAGTAATATTCCATTTTATAGAAAAAGCACATCTTCTTTATCCAGTTTCCAATGGATGGGCAAATGGGCTGTTTCTAAGTTTTAGCTATTACAAACTGTGCCGCTATAAACATGGGTGTGCATATATCACTGTGATATGATTCTTTTAGTTCTTTTGGAAATTTACCCAGCAGAGGAATGGCTGGGTCAAATGGAACCTCTAGTCCCAGCTCTTTGAGGTTTCTCCATATTCATTTCCATAGTGGTTGTACCAGTCTGCACTCCCACCAACAATGGAGAAGGGTTCATTTCTCCCCACAACCCCGCCAACATTTGTTATTGTGTGATTTCTTGATAGCAGCCATTCTTTGTGGGGTGAGGTGGAATCTCAGTATTGTTTTCATCTGCATCTCTCGAATGATCAGTGATGTGGAACATTTTTTCATATATTTACTTGCTGCTTTGTCTTCTTTGTCTGAGAAATGTCTGATCCTCAGTAGCACGGGAACTAGCAGATAGAATCAACAACTGGGATCTCATCTTATTAAAAAGCTTCTGTATTTCAAAAGAAACGATCAGCAGAACTAAGAGACAATCTACAATGTGGGAAAAATTTTTTACCAGCCACTCCTCAGACAAAGGACTATTATCAAGAATATATAAAGAACTCAAAACAATCAGCCCCCCCAAATATAAAGACCAGATTCAAAAATGGGCATCCGAAATGAACAGACATTTCTCAGACAAAGAAGTCACAGCATGTATCTTTAGTATTAATATCTCTTCTTTTTCTCTTGTCCTTTCCAACAATACTTTTCCTAGATTTCTGCTTCAATTTTCAATTGATATTATTTTTCTATTTCATTATATATTATTTTATATATTCCTATGTAGCTTTATTAGCAGCATTAACTTTTCTCTAGAATGTATTGCAAATTTAAACAAACAGCAAGTAGTACTTTATAGCATAACTACTAAGATATAGCATCTGTCCACAGTTTAGGAGTCTACTGTCTTGTCTTTGAAATAACATAGATGAGGACCTGTGGTATCCAAGGCCCCCCAAAAGATTTGTTGACATGGAATGCAACAACTCTGGTTAACTGAATTTCTCAGGATCTCTCTGATACCAAAGCACGCTACAGGCACCCTGGTTCAGCTGGACCGTTCTGCACTGTCTCTTCCTGATCCAGATGTGGAAAAGACCCAGGACATAACTTTGCTCCATTAAAATACCTATAAGCAGAAGCCAACAGTCAACAACAAACATTAGTAGGAATTTTATAGGAACTCCATAGGGACGAGCATTGTCAACTAAGAAAATGTTCACTATAAAGCACAAATTTTTAATTACCCTGCTATGGTACAGCTATCTGTTTTGGCTGCTTCTTCTAAATAAAATTATTTTAAAGTACTCCAGTACTTGGAGGAAATGAAGAGAGGACAGGAAAAAGAAAAGTGAAGCTGCCTTCAGAGCAGTAGAGGTTAAAGCGTGGAGCAGAGTTCTCAGTGTCTTCTCTGTTCACAGCCACGGTCTCCGGTTGAGAACTGGCTTAGGAGTCAGGAAGAGAGAATACAGCCAGAATTACACTGAAGGGCCTAGCCTGGCTTCAGAAGGAAATTTTGACTAAGAAAAGCCCAGCTCTCATCCATATGCGTGAGATGAGAGCCTTTCCAGAACCCGAGCGGCCTGTGACCACAGAAATGGTGCTCCTGTCACGGCACCGCCCCGCAACCAGGAAGCATTTCATGACCACAGTGGGCAGCCGATGTGGGCAAACACTGAAAAAGCAGTTTTATCTGAATTATCAGAAACTCCCTGACTTGAAAATTGGAACAGAAGGTAGACAGTGCATTTTTACCAACTCTTCTGTCTTTAACTGGGCTTGAAACTCCAGGGAAGGACAAATAGCCCACGTGAGAAGATGCCTTGCTTTTACTCAGTAAGATCCAGGACTTTCAGGATGAATGTTTTAAGCATTTTACATGCTCAACGGTGTGCTGTGCTTGAATAAATGCTAGAACATTTACACTGTGGGATGAACTCCAGCCATTAAAATTGCCCTTACTGATAGATACCTACCACGTGTGTAAATGAAAAAAGATGAAACAATGCAGTGTGACTGTCACGATTCCATTTAAATGTGCAGAAGAGTCCAGAGAGAGAGGGTGAGGTTGGAAAGGTGTGATGAATGAATGAATGAATTCTGCAGGGCTCTAATGCTTCTGCACAGCTTTGGGAAGGACAGAGAACTTTCTTCCTATTGCACTTTGTCACCTTTTGAAGCACAGATTTATTAACTTTATGACCAGCAAGAGCAATGTTATTATTTTCATTGTGAGGGAAAAAAACTGGACAAAGAATGTTTTGTTCATTTACTTTTGAGATTTGAGTTGTATTTGATTTCTAAAAATTATTCTAGAGAGCGTTTATACACTTGAGAGTAACGGACATCTTTCTCATCGACTCCTCGTGAAGAATATAGACATGCACTGTGCTCGCACGCATCTTTAAAATACAAAAAAGGAACAGGTACAGCATATTCAAGAGGTGAATTATAGTATTTCAAGGAAGACAATAATATAGATTTAAACTGAAAGAAAATGTCTTCTACCAATGATGTTCTTAATATTTTAAATCAAAAATTCCAAATGAAAAGCCAAGGCCAGAATTTTATTTTAAACCAATCTGCTCAGAAGATTCAAAGTCATAACTAGAAATAACATTTCTTCAGTTGCCTTTCAGTTTTCCATGCAACTATGGGTTTTTGTGCTTCTAACGCCACGGTGTATTTTATTGTCACACTGAGTGCATGAGAAGGGAGAATAAGATGGAGAGGCTGACTTAAATTTTCATGTCTGACCATTCCTTCTTTTCCTTCCCCCACAGAACGTGTACACTGTGAGCTTCCCCAAGCCAGGTTTCGTGGAGCTGGCTCCTGTGCCCATTGGTGTAGGGACTGAAATCAATCTGTCCTTCAGCACCAAGAAGGAATCGGGGATCATCCTCCTGGGAAGTACGGGGTCCCCGATACCGCCCAGGAGGAAACGGAGGCAGACTGGACAGGTACCCACCCAGCTCAGTGCTTTTGCATTTGTAGATTTATATCTTGTAGCTCTCATCTTAGCTAACCGAGACTAACATTCTGCCCTCCTGTCGGCCTATTGATTCTCTCAGGTCATTTTCTTAGGACAGTCATCTTCTCTAGATTTTCCTGTGGGCCACTTCCAGGTTTGAGTTGCGCCCCTCTCTGCACTGTATTTCACATGGGTCCATATACACAAAGACAAAAGCTTGATTCAAGTTGTATTCACATTTCCTGGTCTCTCGGTCTGACTTTATGCCAGATCTGTGCATACTCAGCTAGAATTCCTTAAATTTACGTTTAAAGAATTTCTTCCAGTATCAGTCCCCCAGGTACTCGCTGAGGCTATAGTATGTGGAGCCTGACCCTTCCCACCTTCTGTGGGCACAGAGAAGATGGGAAGGGGCCTGCGCAGGAGAGGCCCACAGAGCAAACCACCATGGACAGAGGTCATTACACCTTCAGGGTATTCAGGTAAAACTTCAAGAGCACCCTCTTTATGAGGACACATCCGGAGTATCTGTTCTCTTCGGTTGGGTACTGTGGCTTGAACCCAGGCCCCTTGCGCTGAGCTGCATTGCCAACCCTTTCCTTATTGAGACAGGACCACGCTAAGTTTCTGAGCTAAAACTTGCAATGCACTTGCTTCAGCTTCCCCGAGTGCTAAAAATACACATGTGTGTGAAGCGAGGGCAGGGATATGGGGAAAAAATGAGAACCAAGACTTATCCTGTAAAGGTACAAGATCCCAATGATAAATGTAACTGTATTGTTTGCTTTAAATGTACCAATAAACTTAACAGGAAAAAAAAAAAAAAGAATACAGGTGTGTGCCAACATACCGAGTATTGAGTACTTATGTCCCCTAAGTGTTTGATTCTACTAAAAGCAATCGCTCAGCTACCAGATTTGAGTGTCAGAACACTTTACCCCCTTGGTATTTCCTTAGTCTCTTCAAGCATATTTTAAAATTTGATTTCTTCTACTTGATCTCATTTTTGTCAGGGAAAGGGCTCATAGTTTACCATGATCAGAAGGTTGAAAGGCTTTACAAATACATCCTTAAATATGCCCACACCTTGTAAATTAGGTCATGCAATTTTTTATTTTATACGTCTTTTAAATCTTAAAATGTAATGCTACTAGTCAATAATACACTAAAAATAAAATATGATTTCTTTCTCTAAACATAATAAATTCTACACAAAAGTATTAGCAAACAGAATCAAAACCTGTACAACCAGGAGTAATTTGTGTTATTCCAGAAATGAAGGAGTGGCTTACTACTAGAAAATCTAAAACTCATAAATATATATCTAGAAAATGGGTAAAACTTAACAACCATTCATGAATTTTAAAAATTACATAGTAAACTAAGCAAAAGAGACATTTTAAGCTGTCTATAAAAAGACCAAAGTGAACATTCTTGATAGGAATATGTTACAAAATGTTCAATAAAAGAAAAGGATGACTGTTATTTCCACTGATTTTAGCCAGTGCAATAAGAAAAGAATGAGTAGATATAATGCAAGAATAAGTACATAATTTAAGAATAAATATAACAAATTTAACAATGCATTTATGCAGAGAAAATCATAAGATTTTCCTGAAAGACATTAAAGTAGCACCATAAATTGGGCATATTCAACACATTAATGAACAATAAAACTTAATATTAGAAATTTGTTCATTCTCTTTGAAATCATATATAGATTCAGTTTTGAGAAAATATCACTTGTCTTTATTCAGATTAGGACAAGCTAATTCTTAAATTATATCAAAAAACAAAAACTCCCAAAACTCCTGAACTACAAGAACCAGGTGGTAGGGCTGTCCTACTTGGTATCAGGACATTAAAAGCTAGAGTTTTTTTTTATTGTAAAAATGTGATCTTTATTCATGGAAAATCCTACCCTGGTGAAACACAGTAGGGAACCAGCTTAGATGGAAATGACATTTGACCACCATTGTCATGCAGAGTGTTCTGCTCAGTGAATGATATCAGAGTATTTATCTATATGGAAAAAAATGAAACTCATTCTACATCAAACCAAACCAAACAATAAAGTAAAGTAAAATATTTCTAGTGAATTAGTATTAAATTTGGGAGGAAAGATCTTTAAAATTTTTCAGAAAAATATAGAAGGATCACTTTCGGTCTTGAGGAAGAGAATGATTTATTGAGCAAAACAACATTGTAATCAGAGCTGCATTAATATTCAAACTCTCTGATCATCAGAAAACACAAAACAGCCTGATTATGTAACCTACAAAAAGCTAGCAACCACTATATAAAAGTAACATAAACTAATAAGTAAAAGAGAGAAGCATATAACAATGGACAAAAGCTACGAAGGGACATTTCATAGAAGAGAAAAGATTGATTTCAAAATGTTTTTTTAAAATGTTCAGCCTCAGCATGATGAGGGAAATGCAACTCTACCCACACTGTCCTAAAGACCTTGATCAAAGGGAACTCTTAGTCACTGCCAACAGAACAGCTACAGTCACTTTGGAAGATGATTTGACACAGTCTTATGAGGTGCACATGTGCTTGGTGACACACCAAGAATTCCACTCCCAGGTACGCCCGACACTCTGCACAGATGCACAAGAGACCTGTACCGGAATCTTCACAGAAGCATTTCCTACAATGACAGAAAAACCGGACACAACCCAAACATTCTTCAGCTGGAAAACAGATAAGCGTAGCAGCGCTTTTGCGTAACAGCAGTTGTAATGAGGGCAAATGAAAAGTAACCAAGACGATGTGGGTGAATAGAAACGACATAGAAATGAAAACGCACCACGTACTGTGTGATACCATTCTTCTAGACTCCTAGGATAAGAAGCACGAAGCAACGCATTATTTGCAGGTGCATGTGTGAATTTGCAAATATCATTTTTCAAAAGCAGGGTAATCATAAACATAAAAATCGACTTTAATGGTTACCTGTGAAGTGGGAAGCAGGGCAGTGGATCAAGAAGAAGCTCCTAGTAGATAAAACTGTATTTTCCTAAATTGAGCAGTAGATTCATGGGCAGATTTCCTGCAGTGAGGCACAGCTTCATCATTTACGTGTGTGCCACTGACAGTGTGAGTCATAATAAATGTTTGGAGAGTAGGAGAGGAAACTTCATTTCCTACTGCACATTATAACCACTGAATAAATATAAAATGTAATGGCTCTCTTAGATTATTTATCCTTTTATCTTAAAATTTTAAATTAATTTTTGACTATAGCAAATGATAAGTTAGTTATAGAAAAGGATCAGACCAAGCATCCTGAAATATATTTCCAGGAAAGAATATGTGTTTTCTTGGTCATTCTTAAATAATTAAGCACCATCTACTGGCTTTACATGTCTCCTCCTCAAGACTAAGTAAACAGAATTGAATTGCCATCTGCCAGGATAGTTCTTGCAACAGAACACATTCCTCTTCGAACTATGAAAATTAGGACACATTAAACACTAGTATAGTACAAAGTAAATCGGAAGCGAAATTTTCATGATAATGAATATCGAGTTTTTTAAATCAAACTGTAATTGCTACCCCAAAGACGAAACAATGTGAAGCACTGCGGGTCTGCTGTAGAATCAGTGCTGACTACAGGGATGTCATGGAAGTGTCAGAGCCCACGGTTTTGACAGCCACAGGGTTATATGAGATTGTGTTCTGCCAAAAGGGTTTGAGATACCAGACGTTCCCGTCAGCTAAGCAGTTTTTCAGCGACGGGTTTGTGGTTGCCCTTCGGAGGACAGCGAGTGCTGATCTGTGCAGAGGCTTCCAGCATTTTGTGCTAGGCACCACCTGCGTGTAGAATTTAGAGAATTACTGGAAACATGGCGGCGTTGATCAGAACCATCGCTGCTGCCACTGATCCCTCGTGGGGGACCGAGTTATTGTTGCGCCGCAGGTGTCCCAGTAGCCAGAAGAAAGGGAAGTGCATGTGGCGTCAGCTTTGGGAATGAAGACTGCATTCAAGCTCCCCAGGGTTCATAATCGGATAGCAAAACCATGCTGGTTGCCATGGCAACAAAAGCACAGAGAAAGCAGGCAGGTTTGCGGATGAAAAATTCTCTCCCTTCTTTCTAAACGTGGGAGACAAGTTACATGTTTGTGATAGCAATCTCTTCCACCGGATCGGAGAATAAATTGAAGCCCGAACACTCGAAATGCCATGAGGTGGAGAGTGGCTCTGCGGGTCAGAAGTGAGGTACCACTTAGGAACACAGGGAGGGGCTCGGTGGACACACCTCTGTGTCCTGGCCCGTTTTGTAAGTTAGAGGAGCAACACAAGCTCCGCTCTTATGTTCAGCATCACAGCCTGCTTGGCTCAGAACAGCTACATTACTTTCTTTCCACATCCTCTGAAAAGCAAAAACAGTAAATGACTAAAGAGAGATTTCCAGCTACTTTAACAACTCTGTTTGAGAAAAGACTGTGTCATAATTTCTTAGGTATAGTCTCAAGACAGATGATTCTCTGTCACTACATCATAGATGGCACACTCTGGTTGAATCCTTTTTTGGGGGGTGGGTACCGGGGATCGAACTCAGGACATTACACTTGCGAGGCAGGTGGTGAGACCACTGAGCCAAATCCCCGGCCCCTCCTGTTCAATCTCTGATACCCATGTGTTGTTTCAGGCCTACTATGCCATCCTCCTCAACAAAGGCCGGCTGGAGGTGCACCTCTCCACGGGGACACGGACAATGAGGAAAACCGTCATCAGACCAGAGCCAAGTCTGTTTCATGATGGGAGAGAACATTCCGTTCATGTGGAGAGAACACAGGGGTATTTATCCACTTGAGAGCTTACTGTTGTGACTAATGTCAACATCTCTGTTAGCCTCAGTTGCCCCCTGAGTCTCCGTGTGTGTGTGTGTGTGTGTGTGTGTACACATTGTGCATCTTGAATGAGGAAGTAGTTTAATTTCCTCTTTCTATGTTTCATGCTTGGGGAACCTTGTTTACTCATGTCCTTCAGAATTCTGCTCCTAACATTTTTATTTGCTGCAGTTCTCCTGCCCACCTTTAGAACAACTAGATGCAACTTCTGAAGCTATAGACTTAAAAACTCCCTCCCTCTGCACCTCTCCAATGTTCTCCTTCTCCAATAAGGTGTACACCTAGTGAACAGGCAGAACAGCTCAGTTGGAGCCAGCAGCCTTGCGCAGCTACTATTTCATTCAGGTTCCAAAGCGTTTGTGGCAGCTACTTAGAAACCTGTCATGCATAGGGAGTGTGGTGGCAGCTGCTCCACCCACTGAGCCTTTTGTGTGCCTGCCTCATCCTGTCCCTTCCCTGCAGGGAGAGGATAAGAGGAGAATGGTGGCCACCCTGAAATCTATCCATGGAGCTCACCTCTCTGCAGACCCATGGGGCACCTGCCTCCCAGCATGGAGCCAGCGAAATTTCTTTAGCAGTGCACAAGCTCATTTCTCATTACTGCAAAATGTTACCAGACTTATATTCACTTCCTTGGCAAAGGTATCTATAAGTTTCAACAAAATACAGTACCACAGCTCAGAGAGGTAATTAGCTCAGAAGAACAATTGGAACAAAGAGAAACAGAAGCCCAGAGCCTTCGGATTCATAAACCTCCAAAGCACTTATTAGACTGATGGCATAGAAAAGAGATGGAAATCAAATTTTAAGGAACCTCAAAATGCAGAGAGTATTTTGAATGCAACAAACGTATGAATGGGGAGCAATTGGTCAAATAACCAGTTGCTATTCTATAGTTAAAGATCTATATTTTCTAATTATCCTATCATGTGGATAGCAGTTTAGACAAGTAGTAAGGATTTCTTACCTTCTAAGTTACTGGTGAAACTGCCTTACTGATTTTGTTATTATGTAGAGCATTAGGTTGTGGGCTAAAGTGATACTAAGCATTCATGTTGAGTAACTACAAACTGAGATGTTAGAAACCACGATTAAGATAAATGACGGATGGATATTTGGATAAACTTGGAACTTTTGCTGACCTAATACCCAGATATTATAGACATGATTTCTAGGGAGAAAGGCAGACTGGATTTTCTCATTTGAATCCTAAAGAATGTTTCCGAATGCCAGTTTTACATGTCTTCTAGACTAGATTTTAGGCTCTTTGCCAAACTTTAATCCTCCTTATTATGGGAAAGAGTTTTTAAAGTGAAGAACTTAAAATAGGCAAATGCATATTTGGGAAATGTAGTCGACCCCCCCAAATTTAGAAATTCCCAAATGTATTATGATGTTGTACCAAGATATCCTTTTAACAGGTGTTCAGAAAGGGCATTTTACTGTGCCAACTTCACAGCTGTTGACCATAAATCCAACCTTTATTTGATTAAGCTTGGTGTAAAGAACATCCCTGAAAACTGGTCATTCGGTTAATTGGCCATATAAACAAACAGTTTTGCCACTCACTGTTAATTACAGGATAATGTACTGGACATATTAGTGTGTATTCACTGAACTCTGTGCCAAACAAGAACACATTTGCTATCCAAACATCTTACTTAAAGCTCTGAGGTCAAAATATGATTGTCTCCTACTCTGTACGGAAGCACTGATTAACTGGAGATCGCAGATGCCCACGTAAATTCCACTCGGAAACGTATCAGTGCTTTGTATGCCAATCCACTTCTCTGGACTGGATCAAATAGAGGCAATCCTTTAACTATTTTAAACGTGTGCTAGACGTATGTTAGAACCCTTTCACAAGGATGAGAAAGAAGTAACTAACTTGCCCCGGACTGCATACTGGAAACCACACAGTAGGTTACAATCCCAGCCACGCATAAATACCTTTGTACCTTTATGCAACCTTAAAGATTCGTATGATTTCTTGTTGATTTTGATGAACTGTGACTAATTTGGAAAGATTCGGCTCAACCGAGCATTGTTGAGACTGCAATTGGCAGTCATCATTTCTTTTCCTAAAGCCTTGGATAAAATGATGATTTTTAATACCACCTTGTAAAATAGTTGGAATTTTACCAATTTGTGGGGCAACACTTTTAGAGTTGACCTTTCCTCTCCCTGCCTTGCCTCTTTTTGCTCCTCCTCCTTCAATCTCTTTCTTTTCCACTCCTTCCTCTGGTAAAGTCTTACCTCAGTTGGTTTTGTTATCTAATTTCTGGGTACTCTGATGACCTTTCCCTGTCATAACTCCTTTGCCACGTGCCCCTTCCCCTGGAGTGATCCCAGTGGCCAGCAGTCCTAGAGACAAAAACATTAAATCTCGAAGCCCTGAAACAGCTGTGTAGGCAACTTCTTAGGAGAAATCGAGTTGAGTCTCATTTCTGTGAAAGCATTCTCCATGCGAGTCTACAATGGGGCTAAGGACCACGAAGTTCCATCAAATGTTTCAGCAGTAATTTGGGGTTACCACAATGAGATCATGATGTGGACTCTACAGTTCAAACATTTGCTTGCTTAATGACCAAAATGTGTTCAATCAAAATTTTTCATTTTATTTTTTGTGTAAATGACAAATGTCGAGGTGCTTCTTTTACTGTGTTCTTCCACACACGCGTGACATTTGGTGGTGGCTTAAAAACATCTTGGACCAATATGTCAAACAAGTAAGGAACAGAGTGTAAGTAATAAAACATTTAATTATGAAGTGCCAACCACTGAAGTTGTAAAAGAAAGAACTGATGCAGCTGATCACTCACAATACGGATAGGTAGTGCAACATTTAAAGTGGTAGTTTGCACAAAGTAGTTCCTCAGCAAAAAAAAAAAAAAGTTAAATAAAACACCGGAATTATTATGGACCTGTTAATAATATCCTTCTCTACCAAAGAACTGAGTAAATTAGTGCTTTTATTAAGTAAGACAGCCTTGGGGAAAACCTTGAATTAAGTAGGAAGATGATCTTTAATAGCGGCAGAAGGAGCCAGGGATTTAGCTCAGTGGTGCTATGCCTGCCTGGCAAGCTAAGGGTCCTCAGTTCAATCCCCGCTACTGAGAAAAAAAACAAAAAAATAGTGGTATGAACCTTTCCTTGGACTCCTTGGGAGTACCATTCCATCATGTTTGTAAGAGGTTGCATGGAGTCCAAGAACAAAAAGGTATGGGAAGGAGGACTTCTCAGTGAGTCACACACACCCAGGAGTGAGTGGTTTTCTAAAAGTCTCGAACCACCAACCCTCTTGGCAATGAAGTCGAACCTCTTAATCTTTGCCAATGCATTCTTTTTTTTTAAGAGTCTGGTTTAAAAAGAAAGTCATCTCTCTCTACTTTCCCTTTGAAACTAAATCTGGTTGGCCCCTCTACACCCCTTGAAGAGTGACATTTTGAGCCATTATAAAATCTACCTTTGTTCTATTTTCTTACTTTTGAAGAGTGCCAAAGTGGATCCGTGGTTCAGTGGCAATTCAGAGCATCATGTTCTTATTCATCATTAGCAATTGTATGTGTGGGTTTTCTCTTTCTTACAAAATCAAGTTAAGATGACATGTTAGGACTGAGCCCCCCCCACCCGGCCAAGTACTTTGGTTTTCTCTTCAGATAGAAAGTGAGTTTTCAATAATCCATTTATAACCCTGGGGCTAGTGAGTAATACTTGTGACTAATGGCATCATGATGCCTGTTGGGTCTTGGCACAAAACCGGCTTGCTCTAAAAAAGAGAAAATGCCTTCAGCCATTTTCATCTTCCCATGTTGTCTTTTGATTCTTTGCCCCAGGAACCAAGGATTGTTGTAAATAAGTAGCATGAGGTTCTCGATTAGCAGTGTGTGTTATCTCTCATCAGCAAATTAAGAAAATTAATGAAACATCCACTAAGGAAAATCATCGCAAGGAACAATCAGCATGGTGTTCTTACTCACTTCTTCTACTCAAAACCCGGCAGCTGCATTCTGTCTAAAACATCCTGAGTGTCTGCTGTTCATTCCTGCAGTCTCAGCTCTCAGGAGCACAGTTTGTCTCCTAGCGAGAAGATAATAGCCTGCACAAACTGAGAAGTAAAGAGCCACACAAAATGTGACCCCACACCGGGCTAAGCCCACTGATCTTTCAGCAGTTGGGCTGAAACAGCACACCAGCCTGGGTGCTCTTAGCTCACGGGTGCGGCTGCCGACTCTACCCGAGACTCACATTGCTGCTATGACATTGCTTGGTTTTGGCAAACTTTCAGGGAGAGTTCATAAGAGACGTGTGGTACAAAATTCTGGGAAACAGTAACATTTCTTCCATACCCATAGAGCCACCTGTCACCCAATCTGGGCTCACATCAGAGGTATTGGAATGAGCAACGAGGGGTGGCAGGAAAAGGATTTCCCACTGTATTGAACACTGATTTATATTCATTTCTTGAACGTATTTTGTCAGCCTCTTCACGGTTCAAGTCGATGAAAACCGAAGACATACGCAAAATCTGACCATTGAGCAGCCCATTGAAGTCAAAAAGCTTTTCGTGGGGGGCGCTCCACCTGAATTTCAACCTTCCTCGATCCAGAATATCCCTTCTTTTGAAGGCTGTGTGTGGAATCTTGTTATTAACTCTGTGTAAGTTACTTTATGTTTTTTTATTTGATGGGGAAGAGATCCATGAAGATCTTTAATGCACACATAGCCTACTGCTCAAAGGAGGCATGGAGAAGATGTCACTTAATTGTAAAAAAAGGAAAACAGAGAAAAATATATTATTATAATATATAATTTTAATTTTTTTTAGTCCCATGGACTTTGCACGGCCTGTATCCTTCAAAAATGCGGACATCGGTCGCTGTGCCCATCAGAAACCTGGGGAGGATGAAGAAGGAACCTTTCCAGCAGAAGTCCTCATCCCGCCAGAGCCAGTGGCCACCCCAGCCCTCCCTGCACCAACGCCCGCGCTGGCACACGTAAGTGGGCCCATTCCCGTTCTCTGGGCTGTCAGCCAGCTCTGAGTCACTTCCCGAAAAGTTGTCCCGGATGTCTAGGGTATAGTAAACTCCACTGCCAGAGTGGGAGGAAGCATGACCTGTCTGCAAAGATCTGTGCACATCTTCCTTGGAATAGTCCTTTTATTTATACATCTGCCCTCCTTTACTTTTTGTGTTTAAGAAATTGTACATTTTAAGTCGAAAATTTGCAAAGCACAGAAATATCCAGAATCAAAAATAAAAGGCACTCAAAATGGCAGTATACAGAGGTGATCAGGTCAGTTTCAGGCCCTTTTACTGGCATTTTACACAGTGGTTCTCACACCACATATAACATTTGTATCCCAATCTTAAAAACTAGTAATACACAGTTAGAACAATGTTTTTCTAAGCATCATGTAAAGGTGTATGTCTAATATGATTTTCTGTGATGTGTGTACACAGTACACTCAAACACAATACACATAAGAGCTTGTGTTCTTGTCATACAATCTGGGTTCAAGTCCCAGCTTTCCAACCTACCTACTGTGTAAATTTGCCACTCTGGGCCTCCCTTTCCTCATTTGTAGGTGAAGAGATGAATCACACATATGTCAGATTGCTACGATCACATTTTTAAAAGACCGCTGTTCACCAAGAACCTGGCATAGACCAAGCATTTAATATATCGCATAATCGGTATACATTAATGATGATAAGGGCTGGGGTTTTTTTCAAGTATTTACTGTGTCAGGCACTAGCTAAACAATTTCTTTTCAGTGTTACACAGAACTCTCTCGACAGCTCTGTAAAGTACAAATTGTGCATCCACTTTTAGTAGATTCGCTAAGTGCGAGCTGTCTTGAGTCACTAACCAACTCATTCAGTGAGTAAATGTCAAGATAGGAATTTTAATCCAGGGAATCCGGCTCCAGAGTCCAGCTTGCTCCCGCTGTGACATTCTCCTCTTGTGATTTACTCTACTCTGAGTGGCCCACGGCGGGATATTTAGAGTGCTCCTAGCTTGTCGTTATTAGAAAGTATACTCTGGTGAGCACTTCTGTGAATGAAGCCTTTTCACCATTTCTGATTGTTTTCTTAAACTAGATTCTTAGATGAGGAGTTATGCAACCAAAGGATGAGGATGTCCGAGGCTTTCCATATACGTAAAGTACCTTCTCCAAAGGTCACATCAACTTAGATTCTCAGCACCCGAGATCAAAGAGGGTCAGATTCACCCTCTTCCCAGAATCATATCTATGATTCACTGCTTCAGCGTCTTCTCCAAACCTGGTCATTTATTCTGAGCATCGTGTCAGCCTCTGTGACACTCCTCCTTTGCCTACTACAGAGTTACTGTAAAAACAGTGTGTGTGTGTGGAAGTTCTTGGAGAACCGGAAGAAAGGCATCCACCAAGATGCCCCAAGGAATACCTCCATTTACTGGTCAATTCGTGTATGTCCTGTATCCTGGTGACATTCTATATCCATTGTCTCATTCGGTCTCCACAAGCTATTACTTATTTATATTAGTGTCATCTCACAAAAGAAAATATCTAAGATCATGCACCAGTGATCTTGGATGGCCATCAGTGATGCTGGGTGATTTTCCCCAAAGCATCGCTGAGATCCTCTAGTGTCTTTCAGAAAGGTTCCTTCCAATCTTTCATGATGTGGCTTCCATCTGGATCCTCCCCCAGCATGACCCACCTTCTCTTTCCCTTTTATCTCAAAATCATGAATAGATGATTTTGACCTTGGATTCCTCACATCTCCTTATAAAACCAGTTATAAAAGAAACAGAGCCTAATTTGTAAGCAACTAACTTAATTATACATCATAATCGGCAAGAGGCATAGAGACCATCTTGTCCAATCAGCTTCTTACACCTGGCCAGGAACTCCTTCTGTATGGTCACGGATGAGGACTGGCAAGCTCTGAAGACTTCACTCACTCATTTTCCAGCGCTGTTGAGCAGGCAGCCCTGGATGTTAGACAGCCTTTCCTTAGACTCAAGTCAGGATGCGATCCATAACTCCCATGTAATGATGGTGTTTCATAGCCATAATCACTAGCATAATCTTTTCAAGGATTTGAGAGTAGCAAATCTCTTCTGCTTCCTCTGCTAAATATACCATTAGTGCATATTTTTGTATTACCCAATTTCTAAGTCTCATATCCCCACTAATCAACATGTGAAGTTTGAAATATTTCTTTAAACATCTGTCACTTGGGGATTTAGCTCAGGGGTGCTGCCCTTGCCTCGCAGTGCAAGGTCCTGAGTTTGATTCCTGGTACCTCAAAAAAAAAAATTAAACATCTGAAACCTATATAGACTATATTACTCGACTCCTCAACATGAAATTTCCAGTTCGGGGGCAACACTGAGATCCCTTTATCTCTTGGTCCCTTATCATTCTTCTAGGAATTCAACTAAGAATGGTTAATGTTTATAAAGATGCACTGTGCTGCTTATTCCTAATGTTGTACCTTATTTGAGCAAACAAAACATTGTAAGCTTCATTAAAACTAGAATTTCCTGGCCGGGGATTTGGCTCAGTGGTTCCACCGTCTGTTTCGTAAGCACAAGGGCCCCAGTTCGATCCCTGGTACCAAAAAAGACAAACAAACAACAACAAACAACAACAACAACAACAACAACAACAACAACAAAAAACCTAGAATCTCTTTAGTTGGATCTCTCATCCTGCATGTGTTGGTTTGGTTTAGATTTTTACAGGAAATCCTTGCTGGCCTGCACTGACCACCTTACTTTCTATATGGTGGGGACATCACCATCATATCCTTCCATGCAGTCTAAAGATCACATTTTTCTGCAATGAGATATTTTACTATCTCTGAGTTCTAAACCTTGGAACCTTCTGGTATAATCCCAGTTTCCGCTTTCTCTCAACAGTATTTGGTTTGAGTTTTCCAAAAACATACTATTTCACAAGACGAAAACCCAAGACTGAATAGCAGCTCAACTGTTTGGTCTAGAAGGAATTATAAAGCATCATAACTAGAAAAGACCTTAAGTTACACATGAGAAAGCTTAAAATGATCCACGGTTACACACATCATGGGAGCTGGCACCAAACCCAGACATCTAAAGTTTACCTGTCTCCCTGTGTCTTGCACATTGTAGTTATTTATGACTTTTGTGGTCAGAATTACAATTTTAGAATGTCTCTTTCAATGTAATTTCTTACTGTCTTTTTTATAGGAAAATGAGTCATCTTTTTAAAGGTTACTAAAAGTTAGAGGCTTAGTGATTTATTTTATAACAAATATTTATTTTAAAGAGCCTAATAAATTTAAAGATGAATGAGATATTATCATTGCCAGCCAAAGAGAGAGACAGACAGACAGACAGACAGACAGATGGACAGAGAAAAAGAAAACTGACTTTTTTCCTACAGCCCACCTGAATTTACTCTGGCAGGTGACTTAACCCATTGAAAGATAAGTTAATAAGATCTCCCTTAATATTAGGAAGTAAGTTACACCTTGTATGCAAATCACCCAGCACAACACCTGGCCCTTGGTAGTACTCCATTGCTCTACTTTCTAGGTAAAAGTTAGTTTAACCCTGCACACGTTTGGAGTGGGAGCAAGCACTAGCCCAACCCAGAGAGGGTGCTGGGGAGTATCTTATCTTCAAGCCATTTCAAACTCTAGCCTGATATGAGCATTAGATCTTGTTATGGTTCAGATCTAAAATGCCCCTGAACAGTCTCGTGTTCAAAGCTGGGGCTTTTACAAGGTGATTGGCTCACGGGAACACTGGCTCCAAGCCACAGTGGAGGGACAGAGGAAAGCTGTCCATCATGTGTGGCCAAGAAGCACAGACAGGAGAAGTGCGGGACAAGAACACACGCTTCCAAGTCATGACCCCGTGACCCATCCCTTCTGACCAGGCCCCGCCTTGAACAGGAGACTTTGGGGACATTTTAAATCCAACCACGACAGATCTCAGCTTGCCCATCATTATCAAGTCTTCCCATTTTCTTACCAGAAGTCAGAGTTTTGAGAATGATTTGCAAATTGAGACTTACAAGGTAGTTTTTGAGGTGGGAACTGCCTGTACGTGAGCTCCGTCGCTGTCTAGCACAGCCGACAGCCGGGGTCATCCCAGTCCCTTTGTTTTTCTTCTTGGTAACCCTCATCTCCAGCCCACCAGCAGCTTGCAGGGCATGGGAGGAGTCCCGGAGGAAGCCCTGCTCTGTGAGAAGCATCAGTCAGTCCCTTGGGTGACCTGAGTCCCAGCAGCACAGACCACAGAGCACTGTAAGCATGTGGTCCCGCTGTCATCTCTTTGTACTTCTCTCTCATTCTTAGCCCGTTTAGATCTGATTAAGAGTAAAAACCCCTTGTGTTATATTTGTAGATATTTCCCTGCAAACATAAATATTCTAGGGCGACGGGAGACTCAGGCCAATAATAATCTGGGTTCCCAGTATCCCAGAAATCTGTCCCTGTGTCAAAATATGGCAAGTCCTTCTGCAAATACACACACTGCTCAAGCCAAACTCTCATAACAAGTGTGGCCTGGTGGCTTTGTAGGCAGTGAGCTGGCTGCAGTTTTTTTTTTTTTTCCTTGAATCTTATTGAAAAGTTGACCTATGAACCTCAAAGTTCCAAATGTGGACATTAAAAAGAGCCACATGAGTAACCTTATCAGCATTGTGCTGATAAGGGCTCTTTGGGAATTGGGGGGAAGAAGCAAACAGAGGAGGAAAAATAGAGCAAAAGTAAGTGATTTCTCTAGCCGCTTTAATGCCACAATATTAAAAGCTAAGTACAGTTGAGGCCAAAGGAGAAATCGATTGGATACTGATGTGTATTTAAAGGGAAAACACACACTCTCCATACTTCAAGGAATCTCTCTTCAGGCATTAAGTGTGTAAATGTCATGGAAAATGCCCAATCCCCACCAAAAGAGCTCATGTTCACTGAGTTAACATAAGCCATTTCCTCGATAAACAGCTTGAGTAGGAATTCTGCACTTCAGGGCATCAAAGTTCCTGCTGTAAAAGTCTCTCTCTCTCTCTCTCTCTCTCTCTCTCTCTCTCTCAAAAAAGTATCTCTCACTTAGTATTTATCCAAAAAACAGAATCATCACAAATATGCATTAGATGTGATTTTTTTTTTTTTTGGTCCACAATTTAGGGGGATTATTGACTCGTGAAAGAAAAACAAATTACATCATTTTGTGATGATTCTTCGTTTGTTCTTTCAAGAGCAACAATGGCAGTTCTGATAAATGTAATTTAAATCCTGTCTAAATCCAAGGGATGCTTACCAGTGAATTCTATGCTACCTTGAATCCAGTAACCTGCTTCCAGATGTCAGTCACCAAGCAGCAGTTAGAAATGCCCCCTGCCTTGTTCGGACCTAAAATCAGACAGGAGGAATGGCGGGGGACGGGCTGGGGGACTGGGGGCTGGGTTTTCATCTCTGGGGAGCCTCCAGCGCCCTCCCGCTGTCCTCCTCGGCAGGTGCGCCCTCCCACCTGCTCCCCCGCACGCAGCCTTTTTAGGTTCCCCACAAGGTGGCGCAATTGTAACGTGCTGAGACTGATGATCCTCTACGAGACTTGATTTATTTTTTAAATTGTGATTTAAACACATTTCAGAGATGAACGTTTCCCGAACAACAGGAAAGCATCAAGTCCAATAGGACAACCCTCAGCTCACCTCGGCTGGGAAGAGGGGAAATCGTCTTGCAAAGACCGCCCTCAGCGGTTCTTTAAAACTGCTCCCCTGCGAGCCTGCTCGAGGTTCCCATTGTCCGGAGAGTTGGAAACGTCCTCCCTGACAAGATCGGTTCCAGCCTGCAAAGCGCAGGCGTGTTCTGATCCAGCTCAGTTTCCCTTCTGAACGAACGTCAGAAGGGGCAGACGCGGCCCTGCAGGGGGAGCGGTGGTTCCACCCTGGGACTGAAGGGCCAGGCAGGAGGGAGGGCTCTGCTCGGTCCTCACCTGGGCCGCTGGGGAGCTCAAAGCCTGCACGCAGGGTCGGGCCCAGTGCCCTTCCTGCCAGCCAAGACTCCCCTGGGCTACAGGTCAGACCCTGACCTCCCGTGTAAACCCTGAATTAGCTGAGTAGAAAACCAGCGCTACTCTGTCCTTTTCCAACTGCCAGTTTTATAAAGAAAGATGGTGGACATTTTTTAAAGCAGCATCTACAGTATTCATCCTCTTTGCAAATCTCTGATCGCGAGCACCTGTTTGGATGTAGTTAAAGAAAAGGGAATCTGCCGCAGCATCATTGGACTTGGAGGTATTAAAGGGATCATTTGTTTCCGTTTTCCTCCAGAGCACAGGCCAGTCTGAGTCCCTGGAATTGCCCTTTGCAGTATGAAGCAGGATCCTCCAGGGGCGCTCTTCTTGCCGTTTGAAGTGGTGTGCTGTGCAGAGATTCAGAAAAAGGCCTGGGTAAAGTCCCTGACCTTTTCTGGTTGAGGGCTTTTCCTAAAATAACATAAGCAGGGCCTTTTCCATCTCCTAAATTTGAAAATATGTGACAAAGAACAGCTGCTCGTCGAAAGCAGCTTTGAAAGCCTCTGTCCAGGGACTGGGGCCACCATGCCACGTGCAAAAACAGAATTCCCCAAACATACAGGAGCCGCCGGGGAAAGACCCACTCTTCACAGATGTCACCTTGGTGGCTTAAAGGATCACTCTAGAATCTCATTTCACATTGTTCGTGTCAGAATATTATTTCATACGAACATTTGTGTACATGGACAAGTGGCTACCACAGTAGCAATCCTACAGACGTAACCTACCGGTGGCTTTCTTTTAGCCTACACATTATTGTTGCCTAATTCTTTGGGATCCACTGACCTTTGCAATTTTTCAGTTTTCAGAGCCGAGAGCCTGAAGAGGTTTTAGTGAAATTAAGCCCCTGTGGATTCACAGCAGAAGGGATTCTCTTCAAAGGTTTCTCGGGAGGACTGCAAGCCACATGTATTTGTTGGGAAGGCCTTCAGTGTGGAAAATATCATAAGAGGTTGATAAAGGATCCCCATTCTGTTAACAGTGTAATTTTTGAACGAGACATTAAGTCCCCAAAGCCTTTCTGTGTGGCCTCTTTGTAGGTAGGGTAACGAGAGAGATGTGGTGTGTTGTGAAAAGCACTTTCCTGGCCTCCTCGCTGAGTTTTTGCATAGCTGTGTGAATTTCAGCCATAGTCTGCCATGTAAGGCCGACCATCTCCTGGGAAACAGAAGGGAAATACTTCCATGAAGATCAATTTCATAGTATTTCAAAACACTGTGTGCCCTTCACCTGCCGTGGCAGAGTCTCGCAGTTGACGAGGCTCCAGAGAAAAGGGCAAGGCTTTTCCTCAAGTGCAGATTGCCTGCCGATGCGCCGTCGCAGAGGGACACAGTTTAGGAAGAAGCCTCGGCATCAAGAGCAGCTGTGGGCTGCGTGGAGGCTCGGCTGAGTCAGTGCTCGCTGGGACGGTGGCCCGTCCAGAGCTTACACTAGAAACAGATGTGTTGCTTCAACTATGCGAGCTATTGATTTTCTCACGCACTGCACATTCTGAATGACTTCTGAAGCCTCCTGTACATCGAGCTGCTTTGTGAAGATAGGAAACCGAAACAAGGAGTTGTGGTTTTGGTCATTTAGGGAACCTTGTGCATTACAGTTGCCAAATGTGGTCCAAGGAAGCAGGATTGGCTCTATTTTTTATTTTTATTTTTTTCCTCATTGAGTTTATTGGTACTTTTTAGGCATACGGTGCAGTTACATTCACCATTGGGATCTTGTACCTTTTCATGACAGGTCTTGGTTCTCATTTTTTTTCCCCATACCCCTGCCCTCCCTTCATCCCTTCCTCTCTTCCCGATTTACAAAAACTTTATTTCCATTTTTTGAAAGGCACAATGGAAAATAAAAAGGCAGGGGCTTCTGATCAATAATTCTTAAGCATTTCAAAATGGTGACAGCAGAACGTTAAGGCAAGTGACTGCACAGCAGTGTACCTAGCTGTCCCTCTTAAGAACCCTAGGAAGCTGATCTTTGAACAGTAGCAGTGGAAATGGTATATGGTAGGTTGCATTAAAAAATGTGCTGGGTTGCCTAGCAACTGGCTAAGGACCTGAAGGGGCTGACATGCAGGTTGAGACACACCATCTTGAAAGACTAAATTCATGGCAACCTTCTAGTAGACTGATAATTTTCGAAGAAAAGTAATTGTGGGAGATGGAAATGGGGGGGCGCGTGGATAGGAAAGAAAACATTTTTCTCTACTTTTATAAGTCAGGTGGCAAGCTTGTCATTTTCTCTGCTCAGTTTTCTAGGACTAAAACTGTAAGTGAAGTAAATGTGAAAGAGAAATTGCCGTTTTCTTAGAAATCTAAATAATGCTTTTCCTTAGAGGGTAGTGAAAACATGAATTAATCAATACATTGGTGAGCATACTCATTTAGCCATTTCAGAGTGTAATATGGGAAAGCTTATTCATATTCACTAAGCATTTAATAACAAGCACCTGCTATGATATAGATTACAGAGATGAATAACAGAGCCTTTATTCTTTAGGAATTTAAGATTATATAAGGGCTTTCCAGTCATACATAAGGAACAATTAAACCTCAGTGTCACCTGTTTGCAGAGGAGAGTCTATAATAATCGCCTGTCTTTCTCTCCATATTTTGCAGGGTCCTTGTGCTGCAGAAGCAGAGCCCACTCTTTTAATGGGGAGCCAGCAGTTTGGGCTTTCGAGAAACAGTCACGTTGCAGTTGCATTCGATGACACCAAAGTTAAAAACCGGTATGTATTGTTCCACAATACCGCACAAGAATGGGTAAATGAAACACTGAGTATCCACATTCAAATGTAAAGGAGAACATCAGTTAATTAGTAAGGTAAGGGCCTATGTCTTTATTTATTGTAATTCACTCAGGACAGTAGAAGAGAATAGAATTGTATTTGTCTGGCCCTCAAGAGCCCAGATTAGAAAATCAGCATGGCGAGTCCTCCTGTCGGAGCAGGTTTTACCTCCTTCATGGAAATGCACCCACGTCTCGGCATCAGTCTCTCTTAGCACACGGATCCTCTCATTGTCCTCTTTTCCTTTGTGTGCTTTTATTTCACAGCCTCACGATTGAACTGGAAGTGCGAACTGAGGCAGAATCAGGCTTGCTCTTTTACATGGCCCGCATCAATCATGCTGACTTTGCCACAGTGCAGCTCAGGAATGGCCTGCCTTACTTCCGCTATGACCTGGGGAGTGGGGACACCAGTACTATGATCCCCACCAGAATCAATGATGGCCGGTGGCACAAGGTAACAGTCCCCCCACCCCTCAGGTGTTCTCAGTGCCCTGAGCAGGGCTTCTGGTGTCTGCCCTGCTGTCTGTTTTGCAGGCATCAACACTAAGGCTGCTGCTGCTACTGAGATGTGACAGAGGCTGAAAATACAGCAGGGCCCGTGTGCAGCTGCCACAACCTTGGAAAATGTATTCAGTCCTGGGCTGGTGTATCTGTGAGGGTTTGTAGGGTACCACAGGGTTCTGCCTTTGTGACACAGCTGTGGTTCCCAAACATCTGTCCACAAACTAGGGCCAGGCAGTGGAAGACGTTTGCAGTGTTCCAAGAGAGGATGGTGACACTACAGAGTAGTTCATTGTAAGGCTCTTGGTATATAATTTATATTTATTTGTCCTTTAAAATATGTACATTTTGTTTATTCTTAGATTTTGTGTTCCTGTATGCAGGGCACTGTTGGTCTCTCTGTAAAGAAATGATATTTGGCAAAAGTAAAAGTTGGCAGGACTAAGATGAGCCCTAAGACCTGCCTCTCACCCCCTGCACATTGCTTTGAACACTGAGCATCAGGGAATCTCTGCAATATCGTGTTTAAAGGGCTCCAAGGGCCCGTCTCTGCCAACAGTCATTTGGAACAACTTCAAAACATTGGCCTTACACCCAGAAACCGGAGATGTTATGGGCACGGAAGGCTCATTTGCCAGCTTCCTATCCTCTTGGCATAACTGCAAACAGATAATATACTGCCTGATTAAAACAAAAACTGAAAATGTGTCTCTGCACCTGCGATGGCCTATTAAGGAAGGTTTCCCTAGGTAGACCAATAAAATGCATAATTTCCAGGGGAGGATATTATTAGATGCTGCATTGGATGTACTAATGAACGTCAACTTGTCCTGTCATGCAGAAGCCAAAGAAGCTGGAAAAAAATATGACACAAGCTCCACATCAACCCATTTGTCATGGTGGGAATAAGAAACGGAATCTTCATGTTTACTTGGGAGGATCTGTCTGGCAGGAACTGATCCTGATGAAGGCGCTCTCCTCTCCTTCAGCTTTGCTCTCACCTCTGGCTAATGGGATAATAAATTTGACACTTGAGTAAAAGACAGATTGTCAGACCACCATGAGGCTGAGATTAAGAAAGGGAATCTAAACATGATAATTAGCCAAATTGAGTGGCTCTTTTTTTCATGGTTTTTAAAAGTCACTTCCCAAAACCAGAATAGATGCATGTAAAATGAGGTGTTAAATTACTCTAATCCCCATCCAGACTCATTTTTAAACCACCGTTGGGCTCCAGTGTTTCACAGCCTTTCACACTCCTTTTGCTAAATTGAGCCTCAAGGATTTGATACTCAATCCAGTCTTCACTCCTCCTTTCCCACCTGCCCACCGTCCCAGACGGTAGGTAATTCACTCTGCTGCCATAATCTCAGCAGCAGTCAGGTGTTCATCTTCCTCCCTGACTTTGAACTAATCAGCTGCTGCAGAAAGAGCAGCGCTCCCTTCTGAATGGTTCTCCCCCGAGTTCTGCCCAAGAAGAGTCAATTAGGAAGGAGAGATGGAGCGCAGCTGAAATGGTGCTTGGAGCCCAGGCTGTGCTCTGTCAAACTAAAACACTATGAAAAGTAGGTGCATTCTGGAGGCCACTGAGTTCACGGCCGGTCCATCAGTCTGCAAATGTTCTCACAACATGTCTCTCTCCTGAGACATATGGCAACCTCTAGAAGCAACTTCAAGCTAAAACCTACCCCAAAATGTTGTATTCTTTTGGAGGTGATAGTCATGGAAAGCACTAAGTTTGAAATATCGCACAAACTAGGTTTACTTTCGCTTGTATTAAGGGCTTAGTCCATCAGTTATTATACTATTGTTTGGGACACCGTAAAAGTTCTTGTATCTTCTACTCTGCCTATTTGAAATTTGTTCAAGACTGGAGTTAATGACTTCCCTTCCTTTTGCAGATTAAGATTATGCGAAATAAGCAAGAAGGGATTCTTTATGTAGATGACGCCTCCAACAGAACCACCAGTCCCAAGAAAGCAGACATCCTGGATGTTGTGGGATTGCTATATGTCGGTGGGTTACCTGTCAACTACACCACTCGGAGAATTGGTCCAGTAAGTGTCTGTTTCTTTGTCCGCATTGCCTAAATATCTAGCTGAGTCATTTATTGGTGTATAAATTTCTGAGCTGTTAGATCAGATGGGCTCACAATCACTGACAGTCGAATGGGAAATCATCTTATCTGAGAAGCAGTAGAAAGTCTTCTAGGAAGCTTTGACCGGGAGATCGCACTCACAGGACTCTAAGAGTACACCCTGGAGCCTTTCAATGTGGGATTAAACATCTGCATAACCATTCACTGTGTGACCTTGAGAAAAATCACTCCATCTTTATTTGACAAAGTTCCCTCTTTTGCCAGCTAGGTAATGGCAATATCAAACAGAGTCGCCATAGAGATTAAACAAGGTAATATATTTAAAGAGCTTGGAAAGGTATCGGCATACAGAGAGAAGGGTGAGGATGATAGTCTGTATTCCTAGTGTCATTTCAGGACTAGAGATTTAGCAGTGACTGTGAGATGCAGCGTTTAAAGGACACACGATTTCCCGTTCCGAATTTAAAGCCTTCACGATGTTTTAAATCAATATTCACAAAATAATTATTTGTCAGACTGCGCATCCTCTTTTGCTTTGAAAGAGGATATTTTGAAAAGCACAGGTAATTCTTTTTTTCTTTAAGAGCGCTAGACCCGAGTGTGATGCATTACATTTCTGTGCTCAAATTACAGCACGTGGTACTCGCTTCGGCAGCACATCATCTAAAATTAGAGCTCGTGGTGGCTTAGATTTGCTCATCCATCAAGGAGAACCTCTCCTTGTAGTTTTAATTCTTGGCATTTGGCTTCTCTTATGAATGATCCAAGTCACTTTCTTTCCCTGGCTAGTGGATAGGCTGCCTAGGTCTGTCCAAAACAAGAGTCTCTGAAGTGGCATCGGGAAACATGACTCACTTGAATTCCTAAAACCAGATGAAATACAATGGTGCAGAGTATGACTGCATTACTTTTAAATTCCTTGAACCCCACATGTGTTAGGCAGCCTTTGAAGTTTTATGTGTATATATGTCTTCTTGGGGAAGAGCCCACTGCCTTCACTAGATATCCCGAAGGAAGAACCACTGGGCCAACCTTAATTACCCTTTCAAATAGAAATTGAACATAACTTAGAACAAATGTACATAAAGTTAATAAGTTATTATTAGAAACATGAAATCAGGAACATAAGAGACGCATCAAACATTATGGTGTCCATATGGAGTCCACAGTTCTGTTAAACAAATGGGCACAAAGTAGACGCTGTGGTCCTTAAAGTAGCGGATGATCAGGTTCCTGTCTGGATGGATCCAATGTGAGAAGACCAGAAGTTTGGGTGCCCCATTCTGTGAGGCCTGGAGGTAAACAGGACAGAAAAGGGCAGTTTTGTGGGATCCTCTAAGACAACTGGCTCACAGCTCCATGCATAGAACACCCCATAGAAGACTCAGTTGCACATAGAGGCGAAGTTGGGCTAGAACTTGCCATCTGTTCCCCGCTGATCAAATTTTTAGGTGACCTACAGCATTGATGGCTGCATCAGGAACCTGCACATGGAAGAGGCCCCCATTGATATCACACAGCCGACCTCCAGCTTCCGTGTTGGGACATGTTTCCTGAATGCTCAGAGAGGCACCTACTTCGATGGAACAGGTTTTGCCAAAGCAGGTGAGCCTCTTGCATTCCTTCCTGTTGAATATCACCACTGCATACATCCTAACTTACTGTACCAAAAATAAGTCTCAGAATCCTAAACTAGTATTCTTTTTTTTGAGACAGGATCTCACTATGTAGTTGAAACTGACCTGAAACTCACTATGTAGCCCAGGCTGATATTGAACTCTCAGCAATCCTCCTGCCTCAACCTCCTGAGTGCTGGGATTGCAGGTGTTCACTACCACACCCGGCTCTAAACTAGTATTCTTTACTTAAATTAGAAATGAGCTTCTAGAAGTAATAAATTCCTCTCTTAAAATTCAGGTGTATTGATTCTTATGAGAACTAATACAGTAGAAGCTATTTGGAAAGTGTGTTCCATCTCCTCACTAGAGCTCAATAACATCAAAATAAATGTAATTCTGCAGGAAGGCTCATATGTTTATACTCTGATTTTTTTACCTTCCATTTTCCCCTGGCTACCTTTCTGAGGGTGAGATACCATTATGCTTTCTCTCTCTTTAGTTCTTCGCAAGGCTCCATTTTATCACACACACACACACTGTATGTGTACTGGTGCTAATTTCTTATTAGTAGTAATAATAGATGACAACCCTCCCTGGATCTCTTTATTCCCTCCACCTCATTTCCACTGTTGGTCTGGATCACTGGTTTTGAACATATAGATTAGAAAGAAAAATTTGGAACTAACCTTGCTTGACAACAGCAAAATCTGACATCAACAAACTTTAAAATCAAATGTGCAGTACTGTAGATTTCATATAGATTCATATTCGTTCACTAGAAGAAAATTAGTAAGCACATACTATGTGCTAGTTATATGGGCAGCAGAGAAGTAAATAAGATGGAGTGTCTTCCTTTAAAAATATATGATCAAGACCAGTGTGGTGCACATCTGTAATCCCAGTCATTCAGGAGGCTGAGTCAGGAGGATAGCAAGTCCAAGGCCAACTGGGGCAATTTAACAAGACCCTGTCTCAAAATAAAATGAAAAATGCTGAGGATGTGGTTCAATGCTCCCTGGATTCAGTCCCCAGTAAATAGATAGATTATAGACGGATGGATGGATGGACAGATAGATAAATAGATAGATAGATAGATAGATAGATAGATAGATAGATAGATTCAATTTGCTCAGAAGTCACAAGATGGCAGATAAAAATAATTAAAATCTATAAAAATACAGTCAAGCAATATTCTGTACATATTTAGATGAAGATTAATTTTGTGGAAATCTGGAAAGGTGTCACAAAGTGACATTTGAACAAAGATTTAGAGGATGACTTAAACACTCATACAGAAGGTTAGGGCGACTCAACAGGGTCTACATGGGAAACCTCACCCATGCAGAAGTAGAAATTAGAAAAGCATGGGCTACATTAAATGCTTGAACACTGGAAGTTATGTTGAGCCCCAGATCTCATGCACTGTTAAGTCCAAAGCCTCCCCAAGACTTGCACAAATTCATGGCTGGCTGGCATTCTCTCATTCACCATCCTCTTCCTTCAGCTTCTGTAGCTATGGATCAACTTGCCGTGGCCCTGGTTTCTTTGGGTTTTGGATTGATTTTTCCCAGTTTCCATAACTCCTGCCATCTTCTCAACACACCGAGTAACACAACTTACTTAAGATGTGGATGTTTCGAGATTACTTTGCTGGAAAATACACGGCTTCAAGTTAACTGTTGGTGTCTTTGCTGTTAAAAGCTTTACAGACATCCCTCCCCAAAATAAAAAAGTGGGAGCTTTCACTGGCCTCTCCATTCCTGTGTCCTCAGCTGAACTGCTTTGCTTCATTCCTCTCTTCTTCTTCTTCTTCTTCTTCTTCCTCCTCCTCCTCCTTCCTCCTCCTCCTCTTTCTTTCTTCTTTCTCTCTCTCCCTCCCCCTCCTCTCTCTCTTCAGAACAATTCAGCTTCTACCCTTTACTTTAAAAATCTGCCGTAAACCTACCTTTGCCAGTCCAAAACCATCAAGATTCTCTTGATAGAACAAAGTCTTGTACATAACAGGTACCACCCTTTATTGGAGGCAATTGTGGTTGCACATAACATTGATTTCTTCTGTAAGAAAGAGAAAACAAGAACATTTCCATGAGTTCTTTCCTAATACTCCCTATAGTTTGGGTGGTTTGGACTGATCTCAATGCAACACTCTTTTCATAAAGGAAGTATCTGAAATACATGTTAAGAGGTTACATAAATCAATAAATCAAGTATGGAAAATTATAGAGAAAATGAATGTACTGGGTGAACTAAGAAGTCCATTTATGTCCCAGAATCTTCCCATCAAAATTTTATATGCCGTTTCTCTTTCTTAATAAAATATTTAGAAACCTTTGAATCGTTTCAGATCAGTGTTATACCATTTGGAGTGCCTTCATAAAACTTTATGAGTAATCATCGGCATGTTCGACTTTGTCTAGCAGAAAGACTTTTAAAATAATCTGACTTGGCTCTTGAGGTTCTTTGAGTCCATCTCAGTGTGCGTTCACTCATTCATTCTACAAATATCTATTCAACCTTCACTGTGCGCCAGATACTTTGATGAGTGTGGGAATAAAATGCCAAGCAATGCAAATTCCCTGCCCTCACAGAGTTTGTGGTCTCGAAGGGAAAGGAGCCGAGCAAATAAGCAGTTCAGCTGCAGTGTGTGTTTCTGAACCTGAGGCGGAAGTGTAGGCCTTTGGGTTTCTGGAAAGTGCACTTTCCATCAGCATGGGACAGCATGAATTGAAATCTAACACAGCCATTGCCTTGCAGTTTTAAATTAGTAATTGCTATACTCTAATCTACATTTTTGAAAACAATCTTCCTTTTACAGTTGGTGGATTCAAAGTAGGATTGGACCTTCTGATTGAATTTGAATTCCGGACCACTAGAAGCACAGGGGTCCTTCTGGGAATCAGCAGTCAGAAAATGGACGGGTTGGGCATCGAGATGATTGATGGGCAGGTGAGCGCTAGCCACTCGCAGCTTTGGTTTCTCCATGACACTGTTCTTCATAGGTAGAGAAATGTATTGTGAAGACTTGCTTGGCAGGGGTTAAGAAAAAAACCTAGATTGTATCTTTCCATTCTCTCAGATTTTCTCAGTTTGTGAGTATTTTCATCGTAATTATTTTTATGGACCAACATAACCTTTCAATAGATAAATCCTACAGTGAGGCGCTTGTGTCGTCCATAATGGACTAACCTGTTTCAGGTCTTAAGCTCTTGTTGCATTGCTGTAAGTACATAGTTTATCTGCTCTTTGTGAAGGCATAGTCTGTGAAACTCTTCATTCCAGAGATCCGGGTTCTCTGTAATGAGGCTGCCTCTGCTAACGGGTTGGGCTTCTCAGAAGTCAAGCTGGCCTGGTAAAACATCAGTCACTCAATTTTTATTTAAAAGAATTGAAACATCTTTTTACAAAAGCAAATTAATGGAAGTGTTTTTGCCTGCAGTGGATCATCCAGCCCTGAATACCTCTGTAGTCCCAGTCTCCCCGTGATTGGTGGCCTGCAGTGAAGTGACCTGTTTACGTGTACATTGTACAGCATGCAAAACGTGGGGGCAAACCAAGAGCTTTCACAAGTTCCCCCTTTGACTATTAAATAGAAATTACATTCAACTCTGTTCCTGTTCCCACCCTTTAGATGATGTTGTCTCCAAGAAGAAAAACTACATAATGACCTAAAATATGCTTCCCTTGGCTCCTCTTTTCCTCAGTCCTCAAAGACAGTGGAGAAAAACATTCCAGGACCTTATGGGTGGGGGCTTGAACAAATAAGCAACATGGAACAGTTTTGTCAAATCTTCCATACACCTTTGCAAGGAAGCTTCATTTCTTCATCCTCTTAGAACCATAGTTACTGTGCCTATCTCTGTCCTGTGACTTCTCTTCCAGTGCATGCAAAATCCTGCCATGCACTCTTCCCTAATATTACAGCACTATGTGTAGAAAGGATTAAAGTGTGAAAGATAAGTGAAATGTTTATCGACTCGCATTTCTAATGCTTTTTTAAAACCCTATTTCTTTTTTTTTTGCCTTATCAAGTGTGTTGCCAAATTTACTAATGTTTTTAATATTTTAGTGTTTCTTTTCTTCATCAGCTTCAAAAGAATTCTGATATCTCAAATTTCAGGAGCCTTTCCATATTACTAAAAACAGATTTTTCTCATGTATAGGAGGGCTTCTAATCTGAGTTCTTCATTGCTAGGGATTTAACTGGCCTCTGGCATGGATCTTTAGCACTTGTGACATAAAAGTTACCCAAAAAATGTAGTTTATGTAATTCTCAATCTTGATATAAAATGGAATCCAGTAAGGGAAAAAATACAATTAAAATATAAAAGTTTTAAATTTTAAAAATTCCTTAGAGTTTATAACCCACTGCTAGTGAATCACCTTCAATGACATTTTTTCTATAAGTTTTATAAGGTTCGCTCTACCAGGATTGGTGGTGGAATCTTGCTGTGTATATTACATTCTTTTCTTTTTGTTGCCTGACTTCAGATTTTTTTTCAGAACTAGCTACAACAATAGCTGAAAACAAAGGACATAATTCATGACTCTCAGTAATTAGGTTTAAATTTTAATTTATGCCAAGATTTTTTCCTTTGAGTTTAGTTTAATACACCCTAGTTATGTTCACTTCAAATGAGTCCAGCCGATCTCTTGGCTGAGGGAGCTGGTAACTTTTAGTATGTGGCCCATCACAACAGTCATCTAATGAAACCACCTGTGACTGCAATTTCCTACTTTCTAGCTTATGTTTCATGTGGATAATGGCGCCGGTCGTTTCACTGCCATCTACAATGTGGGGACCCCAGGGTATCTGTGTGACGGACAGTGGCATAAAGTCACTGCCAACAAGATCAAACACCACCTGGCGCTCACCGTCGATGGGAACCAGGTGGAGGCGCAGAGCCCCAACCCGGCATCAACGTCGGCCGACACCAATGACCCTGTGTTTGTCGGCGGTTTCCCAGGTAAATTTGGGGCTCTCCAGCATGAACTTCTTTGCTGATGGTGAAGCATTCATAGGTAGATGAACTCGGCCAAGAATGTTTGCTTACACAAACTTGCTCCCTAACTTTAGAATCTCCTTTAAGTTTGCCTAAAACTTCCCAGTCTGTGAAATGAGTACACTCCTTATACAAACCACATGGGATGGAACTTTCCATGCTAGCCCCCAAGGTCTTCTCCACAGGGAGGAGAAGGCTAGAGGAAATGAATGCAGCTGCTTAGGGTATGAAGCATTTAACAGTGATTGAGGGCCGGGGTGGTGTTCTTTCTGATTTTTCAAAATGAATATACCAGAGGGATCATAAAGTATTATGGAACTTATTTCCTCCAGTTCTGGAAATGAGTGGGTTAACTGTAGCTAATTTCCCCCTTGGGTTAATAAAGACTTTATATTACCAAGAAACCCAAGCAATAAATCTGTATTCAGAGCCCTTCTGCAGTACATTATGTATAGCATACAAACCACAGAGAGCTACATGAAGTACCCATAAACAAGAGTGGCCGATTAGAGGAGGAGGAAGAGGAGGAGAAGCTCAGTGCTTCTTAATAAATACTGTCATACACAGACCATTGCATGGCTCTTTTCATCATTTTGGCAAGAGGAACTTTTGTCCCTGTCTATAAAGAGCCATGCTGCTTAACAAAACAAGTGCAAGGTAGACGACCCAGCAGTGGTTGACAGAGCGGAAGACACAGAGGTAGTGAGGGCAAAGTTGCTTCTGGATCTTAAAAAGTCTCCCTTCTCCAATCAGATTAAACCTCCACTATATTGTGAAGGAGACAGTGTACTTCAAGATATTCAGAGTGAAGTCTTGGTTAGCACCTAATGGGGCTGCTGACTGATGGGTCTTCTCCATAAAAGGAAGAAAATTTTATGTGAGCTTCCAGCCAATTAACATTTTGGGATTTCTGTTTTCACTGCCAGAGAGCGATAAGATCACTTTCAGAAACCCAAGTTCTAATTCAACATCTGAAACATTTGATTGGTCGCTTTGTTGCATGAAATACAACTCTATAGTTTAAGTTGCAGTTTTAAATATGTTCATTCAAAACCAAAGTATTTGTTTGATATTAAAATTCATCATTCCAGAGGTGTCTACTTTTCACAGTAAAATTTTTATATTTTGCTACAAATCTGTTAGTAAAGCTAAAAACAAAATCACTGACTTTGTCAAAGACAGTATTCCCACTGAATCTCAAGTTAATAGCTGGCTACAAAAGGCGCTCCTAACATTTCCTACAGCAGCATTTCAAAGCTGAGCCCTACAGGGTTAGGTGTATAGCTCAGTCGTAGAACACTTGGCTCTGATCAGGTTCTCTCTCTTTGTCTTTTCAGATGGCCTCAACCAGTTTGGCTTGACCACCAGCATTGGGTTCCGAGGCTGCATTCGGTCCTTGAGGCTCACTAAAGGAACAGGCAAGCCCCTGGAGATTAACTTCACCAAGGCCCTGGACCTGAAGGGTGTCCAACCTGTATCATGCCCAGCCAACTAGTAAAAATCAGCTTAACTCCAAAAGGGTGCATGAAAACAAGCATATCATGTAGAATACATATATCTTACCTATGTATATTGATAAAACTAATCTGTGCACGTATATAGAATGCTCTATGTTCAGGTGGAGCTAATTCAGATCCCAGTTGGATTCTAATTCAACCTCTCTCAAGTTTATGAATATTAAACCAATTATTTCATTTCAACAATTGCTTGTTTTGTGTGATTTTAAGGATATGAATTTGTAAATTACTAAGTTTTCAGTATGCCATGGAGTCATCTCAAAAAAAAAGAGCTCAGACATAATATGTGAAGGCAACTGTTTTTAAACTGACTCCTACTAATACTTTTATCTTTCTTTTCCATGTATGTTGGCCCTGGCTTTCTGTTCAAGCCACTGAAGACAAGTGGATTTGTCATGTGTGATTGGGAGGAATCAGCTACCTTACTCCCTATGTTTGTAAAAGCATTAGCAAATCATTCCCTTGATCCAAGTTCATTATGGGAGAGTTTAACTAGCCATGTGAGTGAATGTCTTTTCATGCTGAAGGCAGATAGTATAGATCAGATTCAGGACAGAGAGCTTAATTACTTGATTTCCTTGTTTGATAATGATTTATAGGCTTTGGGGAGAAACTAGAACCAAGATGTAGAATGACAATTAGGCATTCATTTGATACTACAGTATCAGGCTCTGGGCTGTCTAGATTCATAATGGATTTTACAATCTGTGCACACAGGGAGAGGAATCCTGCTGAAGTGTCTTTTTACTCACCGGGAAAAGTCCACTAGAAACTTCAAAGGTGCACTTCACAAAGTCTCTGAGTTATAATTTGGCCTGCCAGATTCATATCTTCCAATTTCACTGTTTTGTCTTTTGTTATTTTAGTCATCTCCAAAGCAGTCTATGGCCTAGACTTCGTTCATCAATTTAAGAGTGAAACATTTCATTTGCCATCTTGAGAAGAAATGTTCATAGGCTACTACTTCAGAACATTTCAAAGAACGGTAGACGCCCCTCAATATGAAAATTATAGTAAAAGAGGGACGATCTTCTGGGTCAGTGGTCTCCACTGTGGGAAGGAGAGTGCTAGCTCCCGTCCAAGTGCTGGCGAACACGCTTCTGGCATTTCAGCAGTGACCCATCAAGCAACACAGTTTGTCCACACAATTCTATTCTAGAGCCGGCAATTCTACCATTGGCTCAGATTTTCAGAAAATTGCTGAGAAATTTAAAACAACAACAACAAAGAACAAAACCTTGTTCCTGGAGTAGTAATTCTAATTTGGACTAGGCTGTAGCCTGGATCTGAGGATTGTTGAACCTTCCCAGGCAATCCCAATATATTATCAAGGATATTTTAAGGAGAAAAATCATCTACCAGATGAAGAGCTTTTATAGTAATCTGAAAATCCTACTGCTAGAGTTATCTTGGCCATTTCCTCACATATAAAAAAATGTGAATCTAGTGAGTCTTTTTATTAACCTTTGAGCCATGAAACCATTTGAGAACCAATGTTTTCTGCAAGTGAAATCATTACTTCTGCTGCAGTAAACCCTGGCATGAGTTTAGGAGTTTACTGTAGATATCGAGTGGGATAAACAAGAATAAAATTATTAGATGTCTTAAATTAAAAAGCTGACACCTTTCTTTCTTGGATCCTGCACAGAAAGATAAATAAATTTGAAAGTAAAGGTACTTCATGGATATGTGTATCGGAGACAATGCCTGCTGGCAACACCTTGGAATGGAGCTGTTGGAGGCAGCCTTTGAGATCACTTAATACACTGATTCTTAACTCTGGCTAGATTTGCATGCTTAAAAAACAAACTATAAGTCTGAGTGTCACCCCAGACCCATTAAGCTATAATCTCTCAAAATTCCTGGCACTGGCATTTTCTAAAGATTTCCATGTGTGACTAAGTCGGAAAACTTCTGGCCTCCCTTTGTCTCCATAAATTACGAGCAAGGACTAGAAGGAACCAGGGGAGAGTTGATAGAGTGAGCAGAGCCCCCATACGTTTTCCATTGTGCTCCCTAGAAAGTTGCACCTGGACCCAAGGAGAATTTACTGTGTCAGGTTGGGGCTAAATTCAGCATGCACAAAACCCAACTCCAGAGTGGCCCATGAAATGGCAAGAACAAAGCTTGTCTGAACCTGAAGAGGAGAAATAAGGAAGTTTTACAAAAATGAAAAGTTTCTTTAGCATATTTTAAATTAATTTCCTACTTCTAAAATCAAATTAACTTTTTCCCAAACAAGATAAAATGTTTTCTTCCCCCAACCTTTATCTTCTCAATGATTTCCTCACCTCTTGTCACCCACAGCAGTCATACACAGGATCCTTTTATTTTCCAAACACCCACTCCTACCAGGTTGTCAGCCTCCTTCTTTAGAAAAAAGGTGCTTGGCACTTCAGAAGAAAAATGTTTGTGAGGGGACTTTTTATTAAAGTTACCATTGTGAACACCACTGACAAAGAAAAAGAAGAGAGCCGATTTCAGCACCAAGAATACAGGCAGACACTTAAAGCTTCAATTAGCAGTTTTTAAAAAATCATAACTATTTCCTCCTCCTTGGAGTTAGCCTATTATCCCCAATCACAAAGCCCTTCTCGATTGTCTGCTTAACAAAGTAAAGACGACTGACAAATTAAAACTCATGATTTCATGTGCATACTTACTGAATTAGTCTATGTATAAAATTGAAAAATATGACCAACAGGAAAATAAAACACCATAGTCAATTTTTACAAGTACAGAGTACAGTCCCTCTTACTACGATAGGCTGGTCAGTTAGATAGAAATAAAAACGCAATCAGAGAGGGACTGGGTGTCCATGGTAAAAAGACAGACATCAGAATCATGGCTGGAGGCTCATCTGAAGAAGGCCAAGCCTCGAGATAAAGATGCAATGCCCAGGCCTGCATGCCTCCCTAAGAGATCAGAAACAACTTGAAATTATATAGTAATCAGCACCACCTGATCCAGTGATTCCAGACAGGCCTCAGTCGCACAAGTGGGTAACCAGAGCATCCAGACCCATCCCTTCTCGAAAAATCTTTCGGTTTTAGAAGTCACAGATGACCCAAGGTCAGTGATGCTAACCATCTATGTGTCTTGCTGTTCTGTTGGATCGATATTAGCTAAGCGGCTATACATGTAATCCTATAGGTTGATTGTAGTTTGACCCACGTTGTACCCACACTGTGACTTGGCTGTATAAATTACCCCTGACAAAGGGCCTCTGTGGCCACCCACGTTTGGGACCCCTCTTGTCCCCCAGGAGCTCTCTCTCAATAAACCGTTCCCACTCTTAACCTCCGTTGTTCCTTGGGATTCCTTCTTCAATTTGGGGGGAAATAAACTTGGCACATATGACATCCAGCACATTGGGAGTTGTATTTCTCCTATATCACTACTACTACTTGTAAGGAATATGTCTAGCTGCCCATACAACTGTCTTACCTCATTTTGGAATGTCTTTTAGCTTCTGTTTGGTTGAAAGAGTTGCAAACGTGCCCTCTACTCATCTGTTTGACTGAGATCAAAACACGGAGGGAAAGGGCAAGAGCAGAGGCCTGCTCAGGCTGGGTCCTGAAGCCCAGCACTACTGCAGAATCTGCAGGTGCCAGATGCTGGCTCAGATTCACTCTTCGGCATTTGTGCCGGTTCCTTACGGGATTGTGACATTGTGACAGGAGAATTGTATGAGATGACCATGTCCCCAGAAACTCATATGTGGAAGTCCTAATTTCCAGGCCCTCAGAAAGTGGCTGTCTTTGGAGATAGGACCTTCAAATCACCACAAAATGAGGGCTGCAGATGGGTCCTGCTCTGATCTGAAATGAAGACCTAGGCATAGACAGAAAACTATCTGAAGACTCAGAGAGAAGGTGTCCATCTACAAGCTGGGAAGGGAAGGCTCCAGTAGAAACCAGCTGTGCTGACATCTCGATCTTGGACTTCCAGCACCCAGAATTCTAAGAAAATAAACTTCTGTTGTTCACCTCACTCTGCTTGTGGTATTTTGTTATAGCAGGCCTAGAAAAATGTTTCTTTCTAAATAAGTAAATAAATAAAAGGTTTTAAAGATAAAGCACCAATGCATTTCAGGTTGTCCAGACATGGACATTCACATCAGAGAAAGTGTTTTCCCTTAGGTAATGATTAGAAAAAATACGAGAATTTTAAAATAGTAAACGAATACTCACAACACATTTCAATCAAGGCTGCTCCTCAAATGGTGCGACATTAGAAACACCTGGGCAGAATTATAAATCAAAGAAACCATGTTCCATTCAGGAACAGCATTTCCTGAACTCTTCAGTAGAATGGATTGACCTGAGAGCCGGCTTGTATACACTGCTTCACTCTTGGACACATCAAAGTCCTGCTTTGTCTCCCTGGCGTCCCTGATTTCCATAGGAAGGCACCTAGCGGAGCAGAAGCTGGAAGCAGCGGAGGTGAGGAGAAGTTAAATATGGATTTGTGGGAAAGTAGATTGTTGCTTCCTGGAGGATTAGCTATAGAGCGTGAGAAATAAGATCCCCATAACTTGTGCTCATCTGAAAGGATAGAAAAGCTATTACAGGAGCCTGTGGAGTAGGTGGTGTAGGCTTTTGTGGAAAAGAAAGCTCAAGATTTAGTTTTAGACATGTTGAATTTAAACTGTGCATTAGGAATTTAAATGCATTGCTGTGTAGTTGGAATTCAGCAAAGAGATCTGCACTATACATACAAATACGGACGTCATCGGTACCTTGTTACTGTACAGGACTGAGTGAGTTTGCTAAGGACTCTGACACTCTCCTGTGTGTTAAGAGCAGAGTTATCAGAAAATTATTCAGAACCAAAAAATAGGCACAAGATATGTCTGGATGTTCTTTCAGGGTAGCGCTGGGCTTGACTCACTGACTGGGTTATTTCACAACTCTAGGAGCAAAGATTCATGTACAGATTTTAGTCTAGGACAGATGTAAGTTCTGTCCGCTGGAATGGAAAACCTCAAAGGTAACAAAGTTTGTCTAAATGAAAGCCTTCGTCTAATCTTTCTTAATGAAATTAAACATATACATATGTAAAACTTCGCAAAGTTTTAGACCTGTTTTAATGTATTATTGTTCCCCTTAGTAGTTAATGAGCTAAATAAAATTGGACGTGTGTATGCAACACATTTGCCTGAGAGCCATACATTTTTAGACTTTGAACACTATGTTTTCACAGAGACAAAGAAGGAGCAACCAGCTGAACTTACCCAGGTTAATTAATTCAAAACTAAACATGACTTCACACAATTTTTTAAATTTCTGATCGAATATTCTCAACTCCCTAAATCTGTTTCCACCGCTGTATTTCTCCTGAAGTAAATATTGTTTAGGAAATTACTTTAAAGAAGTAAAAAAAAAAAACTTTAATATTAGAGGGAAAATCTTAAAAGAATTACTGCTTTTTATTTCATTTTGTGGCAATTACGCTTTCCTTCTAGTGCAGTTTCGGCCTTCACACATACACACACGACGCTGAACTGAACCATTCAGTAATGTGGGAGTCAGAAATAGATTATTTGTAGTCAAACGCACTTTACAGGAGCGTGGTCCGTAACACACAGTGACAAGCACGTGGTGGCAATTTTTTACTGATTTCGTTACTCTTAAATAAGACAAAACAATGATTCTGAGTTAAAAACTTAAACAGCATATTACTTGAGATCATCTAGAATAATTCATGTATTTAATATTGTACCGATTCTGCAATCTTACCTACAACTGCATTAAAACTATTGAGTGTTAAAATCACAAAGGCAGTCTCTAAACAGACTTCCCCACATTTGGAGGGCAGGTTTGGACCTGACTGGCAGCACCGTGTACAGGACTCAGAGAATCCATCCAGGGAGCCCGAAGGGCACCTCCGGGAGCACTGGAGGCTGTCACCTGCCCTGGAGAAAGACACAACACACAGGGGGAGGAAAAAACACAGCATGGAAGGTGAGTTCACATCAAAGCACCAAGCAGAGGCTGCAAAATGTGGATGTGGTGTGTGACTGTGCTCTGCTCCACACTGACAATTAGTTGCAGTGTTTTCAGCGTTAGAACCTTCAAGGAGGGATTTAAATAAACAGAGATGGTTTATAAGTATTTCGGGAGGTGTAATATAGGTCGGCCAACCTCTTCCTGTACAAACAGGTAGAGAGAGGGAGGAAAGAGAGGCAGCAGAGGGAAGGAAATTTAGATTTCACGCATTTTAAAGGTGGTGTTCACCTTAACTTTAAAAGGTAACTATTTGTACTGTTCAATTTTAATTTACCAAAGGTTTATTATATTTTGATTTAATTAATGAAGTACTATGGAATCAAAACTGAATCTAAACTTTATGACCTGATGTTTTCAATTCTTATACATTTGGACTTTAAAATATCAACTGATTTATTTTTATTGTTTTGTTTCTTTTTGAAAATTAAAAGAGGAATTATGTTATTACATATAGGCACTTCTCAAAGACAACACAGTATTATCATAAATAGTTTAATTCCAGCAAATAAAAAGTAAACAACATGATTTTCTGTTTTCTCAACAGTTGTTTAACATATTAGAGGTAATCATAGTACATCATATGAAGTATTTTATCAGAGGAATATAAATCCTGACTCTTATGAGGCATAGGTGGGGAAATTATTCCTAACAGTCAAAACAGTAAAGATGTCCAGCCTCTCGGCTGAGTAACAGCGCACCTCTAATGATCGTGTTTACCCGGTTTACATTAGTGGAGACACGTGCTCTTTTTAGGTAGTTGAGTCGACTCTGAACTGTGCAGTATTAAAGGGAAATGTTTAATTATTATTTTGTTTTGTAAAATGCCCTACTAATGGAGATATAAATATTAGCTATTTTGATAACCCTCTTGAACATAATCGTGGAAACATGGGAATACATAATTGCAAGTGGAAAACTATAGCTTTGGTAACAATTTCCAATTGTATCGTTAAGACACATCAGTGGGTCATGAGATCAAATTACAAGATTATAACAACAATTGTAAAACAAACTAGGATGGAAAAGAATAGAACAGAATAACAAGACTGAAGTGTACTGTAAAGAGTGAGGATTATTTCACAAAATGTCTGTCTGTCTATACTTCTGTGTATTGTAAAGTATATGTAAAATATATTCATTTCTGTAAAGTACAGATCCAAAATAATACTGTGAGAAAATGAAGCAAAAGAACGGAACCAATAAGGGAATCAGTTCATTCTTTACTCTTATTAAAAGAGAGAAAGCAATAGAATAATGAGTAATTTACTCCTAGGATAATAAATTTGTAAAATTTATGTACTAACCCAAATAAGATTAGTGTGTCAGTGTAGGAGATACCGTGATGCCAAATTCCTTTGCACTAAAAAGGATGACTTGGCACTAGGGCCCCAATTGTGATTTCCCAGACCCAAGAGATACTAAGGGCTCACCTCGGTCCAGAAGCTCATCTCCAGAAAGCACAGAAAAGATGTGATAAAAGTAAAGTGAACAAAGCCCTTGGAGGAATAATTGAGCAAGAATACAAAAGGAACTGAAGACATCAAGATAAGGCACAATAATATTCAAAAGAGTTCTTGTTTGAATTAAAACACTGCCAAAATCTCATTTCCTAGCAATCTGAAGGATAGAGCTCCATAAAAGAATAAAAAGGCACAAAAAAGATGGAATGCAATTTGTAGAAACCACATTTAAATGAAGTATAAAATACTTCTCAAGGTCCATTTCTAAAAATCACAGATTTTACTGAACGTTTAAGCAACGGTTGTAATAGCTCAGACAATAAGAACGTTTTGGAGAACACAACATATTTCATTTTGTGTTGGATTTTCATACAGTCCTTTCTAAAAGAAAAGAAAAGTACATTTGCTAGCATTCACTGTAAGCAACATGTGGCCCAAATCTATTCCCCTTATTTCTGGGAGGCGGCCCCTGTAGTTCCTTTTGAGACACACCCCTCCTCCAACTACCCTTACTTCAGAAATAGGTGTCCATAGTTCAGCAAATGAATCCCACCCATCTTCCAGCCTAGGACACCTGGTTGCCCCAGCCCTTAAGCAAGCCGGTCAGGACCGGTGAGTTTTCGGGGAGGCCTGTTTGAAGCGGCGCACCCCTTCCTGAGCTGGTGCACAGAGCGCAGAAGAGCACTGTTGTTATTTCGTAGTGGAGAGAGCCCAGGTGTCCAGAGGAACCCAGGACGCGAGCTGGGGCAGAGATCACATTGCAAGGCACAGGGAAGATGCTATCTCTTAGACAAACCTCACTGAAGCCTCCCGTGACTCTGGCCTTTTTGCCTTCGTGCTCTTGGCTGGTTTCTTGGTCCTGAAGGCCAATGGCGGCATGGCGTTCCGTCCTGACTGAGGGACTTCGAACTGTGCGCCGGATGCCCTGAAGTTTCCTGGTGCGTCCTCATGTCGCCCCTGCCAGCCCCCGCTCAGATACGGAACAACAATGATGAAACAAGCGTTCTGCTCAATGTCACCAACCGGGGGCCCCCCCGAAGCTACGAGTTTTACATTTAAAACATTCTCATTAGGTTCAGCACTCTTGAAAAGTGAAGCCATAAGTGTTTTAGACTTTAAATTCTCTTCAAATGGCACTTGAAGAGTTAGTAACCGAGCCCAGCAGAGTTCCCATGAAGAAGGAGAAGAGAGGTAAAAGCCATCATTCCTGACCTTTCTTTCCACAATTTAGGATTCATTTAAATGATAAAATATACAGTGTTGAGATAAGCATATAATAGTATCCCCAGTTCTTTAGTTTTTAAGTAACATTTTCAAGCCAGTCAAAGCAACACAGGAGTTTTTTATTTTCAGAAATTCAGGGCTTTTCGTGGAACCCAAAGAAAGAAAAGCCCGAGCTCAGCTCATAGCCAGGCCGAGTCCACAACTGAAAACCCTTAGGCGCCGCCGCAGCTCCCCACTGAGCTGATGTAAACAGCTTCTGCTGGTGCTGCT